ACTATATGTACATAATGAAAATCAATGACCCCTTGGTTGAGGCCAATTTTGACCCAAGAACTATAATTTGAAATTTTTTTTGTAAAGTTTCATCAAACAGACAAGTTTCCTACTGCTTTTATGCTTGTGTTTTAGGTCAGAGAGACTGATCTTTGCCATTTAATGTCAAGTTTTTGCAAATATTACATTAAACAAGATATGTTTGTAAAACATGTATGCCCCCTATCAGCAGCCAATTAGTCATGTGATAAGGTTATTATGCATGACTTCTGACCCAGTGATCAAACAATTAATAAGGGTTATCAAGTATCTACTGGTCATGACCTTAACCTTTGACCCCTTGACCCAAAACACAATAGGTGTCATCTGCTGGTCATAACCAATCACCATACCAAAGTTTGAAGTTCCTAGGCCCAAGCGTTTTTAGTTAATTGATCGGAAACCGTTTTTACCTACAAGGTCAATGTGACCTTGACCTTTGACCCCTTGACCCCAAAATCAATAGGTCATCTGCTGGTCATGACCAATCACCATACCAAGTTTGAAGTTCCTAGGCCTAAGGGTTCTTTAGTTATTGATCGGAAACCGTTTTAACATACAAGGTCAATGTGACCTTGACCTTTGACCCCAAAATCAATAGGGGTCATCTGCTGGTCATGACCAATAACCATGCCAAGTTTGAAGTTCCTAGGCCGAAGCGTTCTTTAGTTATTGATCAGAAACCGTTTTTACTTACAATGTCAATGTGACCTTGACCTTTGACCCCTTGATCCCAAAATCAATAGGGGTAATCTGCTGGTCATGACAAATCACCATACCAAGTTTGAAGTTCCTAGGCCTAAGCGTTCTTAAGTTATTGATCAGAAACCGTTTTTACTTACAAGGTCAATGTGACCTTGACCTTTGACCCCTTGACCCAAAACTCAATAGGGGTCATCTGCTGGTCACGACCAATCATCATACAAAGTTTGAAGTTCCTTGGCCTAAGCGTTTTTAGTTTATTGATCGGAAACCGTTTTTACCTACAAGGTTAATGTGACCTTGACCTTTGACCCCTTGACCCCAAAATCAATAGGTCATCTGCTGGTCATGACCAATCACCATACCAAGTTTGAAGTTCCTAGGCCTAAGGGTTCTTTAGTTATTGATTGGAAAGCATTTTTACCTACAAGGTCAATGTGACCTTGCCCTTTGACCCCTTAACCCCAATATCAATAGGGGTCATCTGCTGGTCATGACCAATCATCATACCAAGTTTGAAGTTCCTAGGCCTAAGGGTTCTTTAGTTATTGATCGGAAACCGTTTTTACCTAAGAGGTCAATGTGACCTTGACCTTTGACCCCTTGACCCCAAAATCAATAGGGGTCATCTACTGATCATGACCAATCACCATATCAAGTTTGAAGTCCCTAGGCCTAAGGGTTCTTTCATTATTGATCAGAAACCGTTTTTACCTACAAGGTCAATGTGACCTTGACCTTTGACCCCTTAACCCCAAAATCAATAGGGGTCATCTGCTGGTCATAACCAATCACCATACCAAGTTTGAAGTTCCTAGGCCTAAGGGTTCTTTTGTTATTGATCAGAAACCGTTTTTACCCAAGAGGTCAATGTGACCTTGACCTTTGACCCCTTGACCCCAAAATCAATAGGGGTCATCTACTGATCATGACCAATCACCATACCAAGTTTGAAGTTCCTAGGCCTTAAAGTTCTTTAGTTATTGATCGGAAACCGTTTTTGCTTACAAGGTCAATGTGACCTTGACCTTTGACCCCTTGACCCCAAAATCAATAGGGGTCATCTGCTGGTCATAACCAATCACCATACCAAGTTTGAAGTTCCTAGGCCTAAGGGTTCTTTTGTTATTGATCAGAAACCGTTTTTACCCAAGAGGTCAATGTGACCTTGACCTTTGACCCCTTGACCCCAAAATCAATAGGGGTCATCTACTGATCATGACCAATCACCATACCAAGTTTGAAGTTCCTAGGCCTTAAAGTTCTTTAGTTATTGATCGGAAACCGTTTTTGCTTACAAGGTCAATGTGACCTTGACCTTTGACCCCTTGACCCCAAAATCAATAGGGGTCATCTACTGATCATGACCAATCATCATACCAAGTTTGAAGTTCTTAGGCCTTAAGGTTCTTTAGTTATTGATCGGAAACCGTTTTTGCTTACAAGGTCAATGTGACCTTGACCTTTGATCCCTTGACCCCAAAATCAATAGGGGTCATCTACTGGTCATGACCAATCACCATACCAAGTTTGAAGTTCCTAGGCCTAAGGGTTCTTTAGTTATCACTCGGAAACCATTTGGTCTACGGACCGACGGACCGACGGACCGACAAGTGCAAAGCAATATACCCCCTTTTCTTCGAAATGGGGGCATAATTATAGAGTAACATTGTCATTATATGTATGTTATCTGAAAATTTCTCTGAATTTTGTTTAGTGTTAAAAAATAATATCCATTTTCTTATGTACTACTTGTAACACTATTTTAAAAAAAAAAATGAATTTGTTTGTGATATATTTTTCTCATTCGCATTCGAATAAACATAAGACACTATGAAAAATATAAATGATATATGACATTGTGATATTTCAGATATAATTTGTTTTGTCTTTGCGAAGCATATGAATATACTTATTATGTCATGAAGTTCTAGTCACTGGTGTTACAAATTTTTGAACTCAACAGCACACTTTGTAATATGAAGTAATGCAAATGGATAGAGTATGTCATAATCAGTATTATAAAATTAGATCATGTTTATAACTATACTTTTAGCTATGAGACTTAGAAGGATACAAGATTATTACAAAATGTTATTATGTAGTAATTTTCAACAGGTACACTGTATAAAATGTTGTCCTCATGGGCTTTTGACCTTCAGGATATTTCTGAAATAAAACTTTGAAACATTAAATGATGCAACACTGAAAATATCTAATCTTTAGTCCTTGTACTTTTATAGGAGAAGATTTTTTAAGTTTTTTAATGAAAATCAATGACCCCTAGGGTGGGGCCATTTTTGACCCAAGGGTTTTTATTTGAACAATCTTGATAGAAATCCACTACACCTACAAGGAACTGTGAAATTGACAAAATAGGACAGTTAAATGCCCTCAAAAAAGGTCACCTGTATGCAAAATTTAAACAAAATTTACTATGTGGTTTATGAGTTGTGGACATTTTTCTGAACTATAACTTTGCTATTAGAAGGGCTCTTTTTCAGAAATGAGGAAACTCTAAATAATCTATAATATCATCATTATGAAAAATGTTTTCCCATTGCTCATTGTCAAGAAACAAATAATAACATTCAGGTAACAAGTTACATAAGAAAAATGATTGTTTCTAAACAAAATATTTTTAATATGTATAAAAATGTTATCCTACCCCACCCACTTTAAACAGTTATTTGATCATTTCCATATGTAAAGTCTTATTCAAAATATCCCTTAAATTTACAACAATGAGGGGCTGTTTTCAAATTTGCCTAAACATTTTTAAAAGGATATTGATTGATCTTGAAAATATAAAATATTTTACTGTGTAGTTTTTATTTTTATCAAACTTTGAAAATATCTGGTATATTATTTTTGGCTATTAAATTTGGCATTATTTAGCAAATAAATACCTGCAATAATTATATAATTAAAATCAAACACTTTTTACTTTTCATAAGGGATCTGAGAGATACATGAATAAAGTTAAAAAGAAAAAAAAAAAGAAACAAGAGGGCCATGATGGCCCTGAAATCGCTCACCTGTACATAGGCCCCCGGGGTGGGGCCAATTTTAACCCAGGGGCTTATATTTAAACAAACTTGGTAGACACCCATTTGAAGTTGTTTCAGGATAAATATTTAAGCTCTAGCTCTAAGAATATTTTTTTAAGTTTTACTTTACACATATACACATGTAGGGAAAAACAATGACCCCCGCCCCTCTGGGTGGGGCCAATTTTGTCCCCAGGGCTTTTATTTGAACAAACTTGTTAGACACTCAGTAGAAGACAGTTCATGCTTAATATCTAAACTCTAGCTCTTTGGGTTTTTTAAAAGAAGATTTTTTAAGGTTTTTACTATATACATATAAGGAAAATCAATGATCCCCATGGCGGAGCCAATTTTAACCCAAGGGCCTTTATTTGAACAAAAATGGTAGACACCCATTAGAAGATGTTTCATGCTAAATATCTTAGCTATAGCTCTTAAGTTTTTTTAAAAGAAGATTTTCTGAGTTTTTACTTTATACAAATAAGGAAAATCAATGACCCCCGGGGCGGGGCCAATTTTGACCCCAGGGCATTTATTCGAATAAACTTGGTAGACACTATGTAAATGATGTTTCATGCCAAATATTTAAGCTCTAGCTCTTTTGGTTTTCTAAAACAGATATTTTAAGTGTATTCTTTTGGTTGCCATGGCAACCAGCGTTTTGCTTGGAATTAAATTCTTTGAATAATTTTTAAAGTTGACTACCAAAGGAACATTCCTGTGAAGTTTGGATGAAATTGGCTTAGCGGTTTATGAGGAGACATCGTTTAAAGTAAAAGTTTACAGACAGACACCGGACGGATGGATGCCGGACTAAAAGCGATCACAAAAGCTCACCATGCCACTTTGTTGCAGGTGAGCTAAAAAACAAGTTGCCCCTTCTGGGGTGCCCCTCAGTTTCAATACAGTTGACAGTAATTTTAGCCTATTTGAATACTCTTTAAAGTGGAGGTACTGATTAGGGGTATACTACTTTAACTATACAAGTCTATGCAAAGGTAGTGTTGTCACAAAAAAAAACATTTACTCAGCCCTATTTTTTTTCTATGACAGTTATTTTGTTTTGTAATTGACTTACAACTATTAGTATTCAAAATTTTATGTTTGTATACATTAATTTTAGAGAATAGATCTGCAAACAATAACAAATCTTTGTAGGTGTCAAAGTTATCATTAATTACTATAAGGCCCATTTCTGTCAACTGAATCTAATGCAGTACATTTGATTTATTCACCAATCAGTATTCAAACATGAAAACTTCAATTTCATTATCATTACATATGATGATATCTATTGGTCAGTAAATTTTTTTGCTTTTTTCCAGTAACAGTTTCTGTTAGTTATTTTTTTCTTCTAGCTTGAACAACTCTGCTTCCACTTTCAATTTTCATTGTCTGAGGTGGTTTGTAGTTGAAACCTTTTACTTCTAAATTTGATTTTGGAAGAACTTGAGTCACAATACCAGAAATTGTTGTAAGATAATTTTCACGAATTGTAAACTTTTGTCCTTCCCGAATAACCATTGATTTCCTCAATAATACATTAATCTTAGCTGTTTCGCCAGGCATAATCATTTCAGTGTCAGGTAACAACAGAACCATTGCCTCAATGCTCCAGATTGATGAAAACATATTTTGTTTATAGTTATTCATTAATGGTTTACTTCGTCCACCTTCATTTTTCATCAAAACATAAATTTGAGCTTCAAAAAAGTTTGACTGGATTTGGGAGTCTGGTGCACATAATGCCATCCCACGTTTGATGAAATCATTTTTTATTCCACGAACTAAAACTCCAACATTATCTCCTGCTTTACATTCTTGAACAGATTTGTTAAAGACTTGCAAATCTGAAACTGTTGTCTTAAAAAAATTATTGTATCCCAATAAATGTGCATCTTGACCTTTTTTCAGCACACCACACGTAAGGGTACCAATTAAAACTGTACCCCTACCTGGTACAGTTACTGAAGATTCTACAGGCAACAGAAACGGTGCCTCAAAATCTCTTTTAGGAACATCAATATAGGTGTCAATAGTGTTTGCTAGCTTCATTATGGTTTCTTTTCCAAACTTTGTATTATTGCCTTTCAAAGCATCTAAGGCTGAGCCAGCAATAACTGGAGTTCCTTCAGAGTCATAGCCAAACTCTCTTAGTAGATCTCTTACTTCAAGTTCAACCAGTTCTAACATTTCATCATCAACTACATCAGCTTTGTTAATAAATACAACCACTTTCTTAAGACCAATCTGACGGGCCAGTAGTAAATGCTCCCTGGTCTGTGGCATTGTACCATCAGTTGCAGCAACCACTAGAATAGCACCATCCATTTGTGATGTTCCTAAAATTATAATACAAGTAAAAGTGTCATAATTTTACAAATGTAATCAAATCAAAGAATATTAATAAACAAGAGTAAAAGCAATTTGATCTTGTGCAGACTGAAAATTGGCATATAAACAGTAATTGAATAAATCTTTTTCTGAAAACATATATCTTGAGCAGCATCCCTTTCCAATGTTTCCAGTTTCTTTCAAAGCTCAATTTTTGGATCACTTAATAATGATTTTTCAGTCCTAAATGTTGATTTATGCAAGTATGAACAGAATTCATCAATAACTAACAAAGTTATAGCAAATTTGATAAATAAGGTTATGTCTCAGATGTGTTTGTTATGCATGTTATGTCCAAATATTAATCAAATCAGTGTATTTCTAATGTCATCATGGGTCAGATAATTAGATCCATCCCCAATGGCAAATATGCTTAATTTTTCCAAAATAAATTTAAAACAGAATTCTCACTCTAACTGAAATCTTGATAACATAATGAACAAATTTGCAGTGGTTCATTCTTGTACAGTCACAGACAGTTGTTTCCTTACCCTTACTATTGAAAAAAGAACTGTCAGAGGAGACAGCAGGCTCAACTAATTAAATACAAATGTACTGTATGCAGTAAAGGAAGATAAAGCTATGATAAGAGCGATCAGTGATCACATGTGTTGCCCAATTAAAGCCAATTACATGTTGCAGCTACTTTGTAGCAGGAGATAAAAAAAATCATTTACTGGGCAAAACACGTTTTTAATTCAAGGGCCATAACTCTGCTAAAAATCCTTCGACCGGAAAACCCGTGTAATATGTGCAATCACTTGAGCTACCGATCAATCCTGTAAAGTTTCAATGAAATATTGCATTATAGTAGTGGTATAAGAGGATTAGTTGGGAAACTTTTTAAAAATTAAAATTATTACAGGACCATAACTCTGACAAAAATCACTTTACCGAAAAATGTTGATGAGATGCACAACTAGACATGTTATTGATCATTCCTGTGAAGTTTTTATGAAATTGCACCAATAGTTTTTTATGGTGTACTCCAGACAAGCTTCTTTGTAGCTGGCAACACAAAAACACGTCATTTTTGTCCAAGGGCCATAACTTGGTAAAAAATCATTCAAGCAGAAAATCTGTGTTACATGCTCAAGTACTTGAGCTACAAATCAATCTTGTAATGTTTCAATGAATTTGCATTAGTGGTTTAAGACGAGTAGTCCAAACACCCTTTTTATTCAAATGCCATAATGCAGCCAAAAATCATTAAACTGAATGTAATGTGTAATATGTGCAAGTACTTGACCTTACAATCAATCCTGTTAAGTTTCATGAAATTCCATTATTGGTATAAGAGATGTTATCTGGACAAACTTTGAAAATAAAATAATTAAAGGGCTCTAACTCTGACAAAAATCACTGAACCATAACAAGAGGGCCATGATGGCCCTGAAGTCGCTCACCTGTATATAGGCCCCCAGAGCGGGGCCAGTTCAAACTTCTATTTGAACAAACTTGGTAGACACCCATTAGAAGATATTTCATGTTTAACATCTAAGGTCTAGCTGGTCAAGTTTTTTTTTCTTTACACATATAGTTAAAAACAATGACATACCTGGGGCAGGGCCAGTTTTGACCCAAGGGCTTTTATTTGAACAATCTTTGTAGACACTTACTAGAAAATGTTTCATGCTTAATATCTAAACTCTAGCTATTTGGGTTTTTTCAAAGAAGACTTTTTAGTTTTTGCTATACACATATGAGGAAAATCAATGTCAGCCCGGGCGGGGTCAATTTTGACCCCAGGGCTTTTATTTGGACAAACTTGGTAAACATCCATTAAAACATGTTTCATGCCAAATATCTAAGCTCTACCTCTTCGAGTTTTTTAGAAGAAGTTTTTAAGTTTTTACTATATGCATATAGGGAAAATCAATGACCCCTGGGGCGGGGCCAATTTTGACCCCAGGGCTTTTATTTGAACAATCTTGGTAGACACTCATTAGAAAATGTTTCATGCTTAATATCTTAGCTCTAGCTTTTTGGGTTCTTTAAAAGAAGATTTTTTTAAGTTTTTATTAAAATTATGCATATAGTGAAAATCAATGATCCCCTTGGGCTTTTATTTGAACAAACTTGGTAGACATCCATTAGAACATGTTTCATGCCAAATATCTAAGCTCTAGCTCTTTGGGTTTTTTAGAAGAAGATTTTTTAAGTTTTTACTATATGCATATAAGGAAAATCAATGACCCCCTGGGGCGGGGCCAATTTTGATCCCAGGGCTTTTACTTGAACAATCTTGGTAGACACTCATTAGAAGATGATTCATGCTCAATATCTTAGCTCTAGCTTTTTGGGTTTTCTAGAAGAAGATTTTTAAAGTTTTTTCTTTTGGTTGCCATGGCAACCAGAGTTCTGCATGGAATGGAATTCTTTGAACAACTTTGTTAAGGCTTCACACAAGGAACATCCCTGTGAAGTTTCATTAAGATCTGCCTTATGGTTTCAGAGGAGATGTCGTTTGAAAAGTGTGAACGGACAACGTACGACGGACGACGTACGACGGACGAAGAGTGATCCTAATAGCTCACCCTGAGCATATGCTCAGGTGAGCTAAAAAGCTGATGATTTGCACAACTAGACTTGAACTGATCATTCCTGTAAAATTAGGAATCATCAAGGTCAAGGTCATAAAAGAAACAAAGATCAATTGAGTTTGATATACATAAAGGTATAATCCTAAAGAATAATATTGTGTTATAATATGAAGGTAATCCAATTTTTAATAACAAAGTTATAACCTGTTACAGTAAAAGAAGAAAATTTCAATAATTTGACCTTCAAGGTCAAGGTCATTGATGAGTTGAGGTCAAGGTCTGTCTGGTGAACTAAAAGGTCTATCCTAAAAGATTATGTTCAAATTTGAAGACAATCCATTCAAAAATAACAAAGTTATAGCCACTAATAGCAACAAGAGGGCCATGATGGCCATTGTATTGCTCACCTGATCATGAAGGCACAATCCCATTTTGGTTTATATACAGAATTTATTTTAGTTTGATTGTTTAGGAAGCCATAAGCTAATAGACACACTTTGGAATCTTTTCCTGGAACCAACCAGTACTGAGCAATGAGTGTAAAGTTTCTTGCTCAAGGAAACAACAACTTGCCCCTGACTGGGTCTGAACCCATGCAGATAGAGATCTGTTGATTTCTAGTCCGATGCGTTAACCACTCCATGCCGCCACTTCCAATCCCATTTTATTTGAGTTGTGTGACCTTGCTTTTAATCCCCTAGGACACATATTAGAACTTGACCTAAAAATCGTTAAAATAACCTTTCTGACCAATTTCGAGGACATTTTGATCAAGACAGTGGCATCTAGAGTGTTAACAAGGTTTTATATATTTGGGCTGTGTGACCTTCTTTTTGACCTCAGGTGACCCATTTTCAAACTTGACCTATAATCACCAAAACAACCTTTCTTAACAATTTCTAAGATATTTGGACCATAACAGTAGCCTCTAGAGTGCTAACAACGTTTTGTCATATTTGGGCTGTGTGACCTAGCTTTTGACCTTAGGCGACAGATATTCAAACTTTACCTAAAAATCATCAAAACAATCTTTCTGACCAATTTCCAGGGTATTTAGATCAAAACAGTAGCCTCTAGAGTGTTAACAAGGTTTTTTCCATATTTGGGCCATGTGACCTAGCTTTTGATCCCAGGTGACCCATATTTAAACTTGATCTAGAAATCATCCAAACAACCTTTCTGACCAATTACCAGGATTTCCAATTTCACCAAGTTGGCCCAAATGAGCTTAAAATCAGCAAAATAAAAAAGAGGAACATTTTTGCATTTGACCTTGAAGTTCAATGTCATTTATGAATGATTGTCAAGGTAAGTCTGGTCCCAATTTTTGTTACATGTATAAACAATTTCAAAAACAATGTTTTCATTATTTATATCATTCACTCAAGCAAAAACACATAAAATGTCTTTATCTGTAATAAATCTTACCAACCTGTAATCATATTCTTTATGAAGTCTATGTGACCAGGACAATCTGTGTGTGCATAATGTCTGGCGGCTGTTTCATATGACACATGTGTAGCATATATAGTAATACCTCGTCTCCTCTCCTCGGCTGCTCTGTCTATAGCTGAATAATCACAGAATTTTGTTCCTGGATTATTCTCAGCAAGGACCTGTTTACATATAATAGTACAAAGATTTACATACAGTGAATTAAATTCAGAAAACGATACAGAAATCACATGCATGGTAAACATGAACTTGTAACAGAGTTATAAAAAGAAATTTTCAAAGTTTTACATAAAGCACACAATAGTATTATTTCAAAAGCATAATAATAAATTGGAAAAAATATTTGGTACTTTCTGAAATCTTCTTAAGCTTTGACCTCTTTAAACTAAGTGTGACCTTGATCTTAACAGAAGAAGTCTACAAACTCAAAGCAAATTCAAGTTATTGAGGGGGAAACTGAATTTTTTTTTTTTAAGCAACAGTGCTCTTGATCAGTTGCCTGGATAGCGATTCCAAGCTACCTCTTGATACAAGCTACACACACATCAAGTTTGGCATCAATTGTCCAAATCAAACTCAAGTTATTGAGTAGAAACTGAATTTCTATACCAAGTTTGATTACAATATCTCTTTTTCTAACTCTAGTAGCAAAATTTGGACTTTTGACCTTGAAGGTCAAGGTCATTATGGATGGAGGTCAAGGTTTGTGTGGTCTACTGAAAGGTCTTGTCCCAAGGGTTGTTGTGGCCAAGTATGAAGAAGATACACCAAGAAATAAAAAAGTTATGATCCAGGTACAATTTTGCAGACAGCAACGCCGCCATGACTATAACAATATCTCCACTTTTTTTTTTTAAAAGTCGCGCTAAAAAATCAGTCAAGCAAATCAAAACAAGTCGGGAGATCAACAAGCTTATCATCAAAATAGATTGTTCTTAACTATATAAGCCATGTAACAGCTATAATACAGAACTGTATTTTTGTATTGTTTACCGTAATATCATCTGCAAAATGCCCAAGCTTCAAACAAACTTGGGTACATGGTGTAGAGGTTACAGGTCAGGTACAAATAGGTTAGCACACACAAACTCCCGAGTTTTTTTCACTTTAAAGCATAAATTGTAAGCATATTTAGAGGCAATATCCTGGAATAGACCCCAGGGTCTAAACCAGGATTCAGGACGACAGGAGTATAAGGTTCATTCAGTTTTCTATAGCAAATAGAAGTATTGATTAAGCACTGGGCTGGTCGATCGAGTATAGCACAGGAACTTGAAATCCTATCAATAATAATGATAATATCCAAAAAAAATATATATAAAGTTTATTTATACTGTATTTTACTAATTTTCATATCTGGTTAATAAGTTTTATTTGCTACAAGTTTTGAGTTTAGAAAGCATGCGTGATATCTTAACTAAGGCTCCCAGGTTTACAATTTTTTGTAAACGTTTACATGATTGCTAAGAACCGAAATGATACTGTTTAAACGGTGGTACTTCTATGTACTACACTACACCATGTATTCGAGTCGGCAAATCATGACATACTTTCTATTTTTAATACATGTACAAATAAATAATGTCCAGGGCTCATCACGATTGTGTCGTCACACATTTTCTGCATTGCATCCCCATTTCGCTCTTTTGAAAGATTAAAGGAAATCAACTTCACCAAAAACACCCATTTTCCATATAATTACTTTGGAATAAACCAATTGGAATTGATAAAAGCCATGATTACAGGCAATGATTAAGATATTTCGTAAGGGTACGTTACGATACCGAAATCAACTTGATTTCGGTAAAGTTACCGAAATCAACTTTTCATTACCGAAATCAACTCGTAAAAACCAACGTAGTTAAAATATTGCTATTATTTCTTCCTTATTTGATGAAAATTAGTGAAATAGACTTTCAGTTAAAAAATCTATTGAAAATAGTTTATTTTAATGATGTTATTAACAAAAATGTATATTGAGTTACTTCCCTTTGTTCTAAACAACCCGTTATGTGTATAGCATTACCGAAATCAGCTTATAATATTGTATATAAAATACATGTATAATACATATATAGTGATTGTTTAAGATAATTTATGTTTTTGAAATTAAAGAAAACCCGACTGCATTGATGAGAGCGGTCAGTTTCAACTGAATAGATATCGCGTGTAATATCTGTTCAGTGCATCCAGGTCACACCACGGGGAGGCGCTCTCTTCATGGCCCATCTTTTTTCTTTTCTTTTTCTATTTAAAAAAATATAATACTCTGTAATATGAGTTAAATCTAATAATAAATTTTGTACTTGTTTATGTTTTAATTTTTTTACATACACATTGGGTTGTTTCCCTTCTCCCTATTTTTCGCGAGGAAGTCACTTCTCCCTAAAATTTCCACCCAGGACAGTCTTCGCCTTAATTTTTTATCAGCACTAGCCCAGTCGGGCTAGCAGCTTACAAATTTCACTAGCCCGAACACATTTTAACTAGCCCGAACCAAAATGGTATTTTTTGCATACATTTTGTACAAAAATAACACTTTCTATGTTTTATATACCATTTAACATTATTAGAATATCTACTAATCAACTTTTCTTCCTTTCATTATTTAAATAAGAAGAGTTTAAACTACATATGAAAAGAAGATATTTTGATATTTCTGTGGCATTGTCCACAGACACTGAAAAAAATTGTTTAAAAACTGAAAATACTCTTCTCCTCGTTTACTGTAACCATGTTGGCTGATACATGCATTGACAACATATCCATATTCCTTTTCGTATTACTTTTATTTTTTTGGTGTGCTCCTTTTTGGCTTAGTGCCTTTTAAATACAAGAGAAAAGACATATTGTGAAGCATGAGATGACGCCTAATAAATGTCTAACAATCAATAATATTTCATAAGCGTTTTAAGTTCAATAAAGCTGCAAATAACTTTTAGGGCCAAGGTGGTTTACCCATCAAAATCTAGAGTAAAAGGAAAATTCTGGGGTAAAATTTATAAAAAGAATTTGCATTGTTTTGTTATCAAATTTCATTGCCTTCTCTTTACATAAATCAGACTGACTTATATAATAAAATATTGATTCAATGTGAAATTATACAAAACTTGCTCTGTTAAGGCAGGCTTCCCTAGACTAGGGTTTGTTTAGGTTACACAGTAAATTAATGACAAGACTCATTTTTTTGTTGCTGACATGTTGTTGTTTGAAATGAATGTGTCACATTCTTTTACAATCAGCTTAGCTACATGGTCAGCATGAGGCTTTATTCATACTCTATTTCTACAGACTACATTTTAGTGCCGTTCTTTGGTTTTGATTATTTATAATTGAAATTAGAATTAATGAAAAATAAATATAATAGAATTAAAACTTTTATACACAAAGAATAAGTCTTTGACGAAATTGTCCGTAACTGTAAACTTGGTACGAAAATATTGAGTACAAAACTGCAGAATGGCAAGGGAGAAATATGTTTTCCAATAACTAAAGTGGCAAGTACAACATTTTTTTTTATTTTGTAGCAAAAACATTATAATATATGTCTAAACAAATTGAATATTAGGTTAAGTCCTACGATGATTACACCAAATTTAACTATCAATAATTTCATTTCAGAAACTCCCAAGAGTTACCTTCCCTTTTTACTCGATGTCACTTCCTGCTACTTTCGTTTTCAACTTACAGCAGTGTTGACAATAGTACTTTTCTTTAGTTTTCCATCCAATTCAGCAGAAATATATTGTATTTTCATAAAGCAAAAACATTGCTATCTGGAGCTCTGCATATTTCCAACATTTTCTTAATTTCGATATGAAAAAAGCCCTCGACCAGACGGGCTACCAGCTTGGAATTTTCACTCGACCACCCGCAAATTTACTCGACTCGGTCGTCGGTCGAGTGGGTTAAGTCGAAGACTGCCAGGATGAGCCCTGTTTATGAGTTTGAATACAGATATATAATTCGACTGCTCTAAAAAATTTTCCAAAAACATTGTATAATGTATCAGGCAGTAAAATTTGAAATTGGAAAGTTTGTGTCTTTCTTTTATTGAACAGCTAAACTATATATTAACAAATCGCTAACATATGTTATGGGGACTCTTTATTACAATATTTTTATATTTTAGTCATTTATTTAAATGTTTATTACAAAAAAAACCTATGGTTCATTATAATCTTTTATCCTTAACATATATTGTATGTCAACTGTACCCCCTGTCTTAATTACTTCACACCTTACTTAATACAGTAATACACAACATGTCATTTCGTACAAGTTACAACATTACATAATTGAAATTTGTCAGTTTAAAGTGTTCCATTTTTTCCATCATATAAATATACATCAGTCATTCCATAAATTTATGCTGTTTACAGATATGAAATTTAAAATGATTATAAATCGATCAACATAAAATCATGACTTAACAACTTTTTCAATAAGTAGAATAATTATGTAGTTATTAATATATTATAAAGTATCTGGGACATCAAAAAAATGCATACATTTTTGGAACAACTGATATGCAGTTTGGTTATAATAATATCAAAGCACCGGTACCCTTTATTTATTCAATATAACATTATATTTTTACCAGCTTACTTTTACAAGCCGATTTCGGTATGGTAACATATATTTTGGTTTGTGACAAGTCAGAGAAGTTTTCTTGATATTTAGATATTTGTTTCTAATTTCATAATTATTAATTATTTCGAACTGATTTTTTGCATGAAAGTCAAACTGAGCCTATTGTAATAGATTATAATAGAAAAACTATAATCAAATGCTTAATTGTGATTTTACAAGCCGATTTCGGTATTGTAACATAATTATATTTCGGTTCGTGACAAATCAGGGAAGTACATGTAATCTTGATATTTAGTTATTTGTTTCTAATTTTATAATTATTTATTATTTCGAAATGATTTTTTGCATGAAAGTCAAACTTAACCTATTGTATTATATTATAATGGAAAAAATATAATAAAACGCTTAATTGTGATTTTAAAAGTTGATTTCGGTAATGAAAAGTTGATTTCGGTAACTTTACCGAAATCAAGTTGATTTCGGTATCGTAACGTACCGGTTTCGTAAGACAATATGGTCATTTCGATTAAACGGCAAAAAATATCGTAAACGTTCAGGAATGAAAATCGGAACGAATCCATTTAAACGTTTAACCGTGGGGGCCTTATCTTAAATGGATAGAAAGTTGTCTATCTCTGTTATCTATGTCTCCGATTTTCGTAAGAGAATATTCAGACTCTTTACCTTTGTTAATGCCGCTGTCAAAGTCGTTTTACCATGATCAACATGCCCTATAGTTCCTATATTGCAGTGTTCCTTCTTACCCACCGAGACGTTTTCTTTAGACTTCGACGTAAAACATCTAATGAAACAACTTTTTCGTTGATTGAATGATAAAAACTTCAAAGGATCTTGACAAAGTCTCAACTGTGTGTTTGTCGATGAAAAACGCTGAAATATTTTCAAGGATAAAATTCGTATGGGCGCAGCCATCTTGAAATGGGGGTTACTAATCGACGGTCTCCGGTCTCCGACGGTCCCCGGTCTTCAAATACCCTCGAGTGGAGGAGACCATCGATTAGTCGGTTATTATACAAATCGAAACATAATTGATATATAACAAGTTTGCTTCTTTAACCCATTACTATACAAGAAACTTTATTTTAAGTCGTTTTACATATTACAATAAACATTAGGTAATAAGCTATTTACCGACAATAACAAAGGCATAAAACATATTTACTAACATATAACAGTTCTGAAAATAAAAACATATAAAACTATTAGCAGCTTTAAGCATAAAATGAGTATCAAGGTAAAGAAGAAATCGTGTTTCGACGGCTTCCCCCCCCCCCGAAAAATGTTGTTCGGCGCCGTCCCCCATCCAAATATTACATCAGGGGGTTGCCAGAAGGGGGGATGTGCCCCCATTCTGTTTGGGGGGTTCGAAAGGGGACGGAGTCCCCCTTATCGCCAAGAAAATTTAGGACATGTACGTGACAGGCTAAAAATGGCCTCAGGTCGATCAAGTAAACGACGCTGAAAGCCTATTACTCTATCTCAATTCATTGAGAAGAAATGGGTTAAAAAGAAACACGCGAGAGGCTTTCTCGCAGCTGTAGAAGATTTGTTTACTTCGCTTATAATAGTTTGAGATATTTTTGCATAAAAGACACATTGAATGTTTATAAATTACAATTGTTTAACAAAATAGAATTTATTATATTTATTGAATATATAGCACCATAATAAAAGTTTGTTTTACACTCCAATTTTTTAATGTTTTGAAAGATTGTTAGCTTAAGGTCTTCAGCGTACACAGCGTACCCGTTTATATAATTATGACATGAGTGCCGCATCAGATTAAAAACAAAATTTAAGCCAGAACTAAAAGATTGTATGCCGGAGAAATGGACATTTTCTTGGCACATCAGGGATATTTTTTCTACAAGGGAACAATTTATGTTAATTATGTTATCAAACTAAATTTGAAATAATGATATAATTATATCAAAATAAAAGTTTCTTGAAAAATTCAGTAATCAAATTTTCGATTAATGTTTTTGGAAAGTAACGTTATATGGAAACATTTCCTCTGCAACAGAGATTTCCTAACGGGCATGAAGTATGTTATTCAAACAATTTTAAGTCCCAGATTTACATAAAATATGTACATATCAAATGACTGGAATAAACAGTATATACAGCTGCATGCCTCCAGCAACAAAAGTCATGAGAAAAAATGTGCCATTTGCGCCCAAAAATACCGGGAGCAGCAATGAAAATTTCGGTACACTATCCACTCGGTTATGTAATAGTGCATAGTGATATTGTAGCCATATAATGTTCACTTTTACTATTTTTCGGAACATGAAATAGTAAAACACTATTCAGAAAACAATAATCGTGTTATACAGTTTAAATGATTAATCAAAGGGATGCAAGCTCTGGTATTTTCTGATCTTTGCAATCTAAATCGTACTGTATATCTGTAAATATTTTCCTGTATTGGTTTATTTTGATATACTACATGTGTATAATTCATCTTGCAGGGCACCGAATTGCAGCGAATCATCTCCCAAATAACTACACACATTCAACTAAAATTTTACACCTCGTTACATTAAAGGAATGCGCAGGTCAATTTCGAATTTATCCATTGTTCAATGATTTTTTTTGCAGAATTATGCCCCTTTTACTTTAAAAAAGGTGATTTTTTTCAGTTTCCGTTATCCAATTCAAATTTAACATATGGATATTTTTCATAGGAATACGCTGGTCAAGTTCGAATTTTGTCATGGTTTGATGATTTCTGACAAGAGTTATCCCTTTTCAACGTTGAAAAAAATAATTCTTTAGTTTCCGTACATTATCTCCCCAACAGTACACTTGTAGTTTTAAGGACTTTGAACTTAGAATGAAAAAAATAGTTTGTGCAAACAAATTTCGAACTAAATATTATTATAACATTTGAAAATTTGGCTGCATGCGAGGGCAGCCGTGGCGTGACGACACATTTCTATTTACGATAAATGGACTATATATGCTTCATCTATTAGTTACTTTAGTGAAATAAATGCAATTGTGAATTAGCGGGCAATTTTAAATATTGTGTGCCAAGACCGTCTATGGAGGAGGCCGTCTATTAGTAGGTTATTTCTAAATTTTCACCTAGAAATCCAAAACATTCAGAATGTTTATGGAGCGCGCCATTTTGTTTTATGTACAGCGCCATTTTGATATCCAGTAAACACAGTTACTAGTAGCAGACGACACAAACAGTTAAATACCAAAACTGTGCTAAAATCGCCGTTAAAAGGCAATTAAATAAACTAACATAAATGTCTTCATTGTGAACTATTAAACTTTTATATACTTAATAATTGTAAAATATGTTTGTTTAAACAAATGTATGATATTAAAATTATATACTTTTGTTGTCAATTGTCATTGAACATCAAAAGTGATCATAAAACACATCCCTTTAATCGTTATTAAAAGAGTCAAATAAGGTAATAAAAAATAGTGATGATCTCAGTTTTCAACCCGTTGGAAAATATTTTGTTCGGTAAATGGTTCTCTAGGTTGTAATATACCGATATTCTAAATGTGATCTTGGTCTAGGTACTTGAACTTAAATCTTAATCACTGCAATGCTGATTTAGAAATCTACAAATTTTAAAGTATTTAACATTTCTGGCAGCTTATACTCATAAATATATAATATGAAGTCTGCAGTTCAATCAATCCGTTACCATGCAACCAGAGAAATCAGAAGAAATTCGATCGATAATATACATAGATGAATGGACATGACCCAAATGTACATTGTATTACTAAAGCCACTGTGATCCCATATGTTAAGTATTTGTAAACAATTACGCCATAGTTTTGACCTCTGTCCGCTATGATACAGTATATAACTTTACATTTAAACGTTAATGTGTTCTGGTTTTATTAACAAGTGTATATAGTGCAGACATTAACCTGTTTATGTGTAGTGACGCGGGAATATATGTTATAGTAGAGAGTTTTCAACATTTTTCTATGTGGGAATACTGTACATAAATGAATAATACATCAGGTAAATTACCATTCACCTTCGCCCGTGACCCTACATACAAACACGCTTCTACTTGAAAAAAAAAACGACCTTTTTTCTCATTGGAAATATGCAAATTAGAAAATTTAGGAATGTCAACGAAAGCTGTGTACAGTATCGGAGATGAACTGATTATAGATTTATTATATGGACTGAGATAATACAGAAATGGAGAATAAAGCGTTAGAATCTGGTGGAGAAATGTCATCTGACATGTCGTCTGCTATTGACAGTGAACACAAAAAATCTAATGAACAAACAGACGCAAATTACAAGGATTTTAATAAAATGAAAAAAGATAATATTAACAGGAAAGATCAATCGAATGAGCACAAAACGATCATTTACATAAACCGATCGTTTGATGAAACTAGTGATTCAGAGGACGTTCAAATAAAGCAGGAATCAAACCGGAAGGACGATGAGAGAGATTCCATTAAGAAAGACGTTACGGACCTGCTCGATGTAAATTTAAAAGAAAAATTAAAAGAAAATGAATATAACGATGCATTACCAGACCCAATTGATCTTGTCTTGCAGGAAATCGGGGAACAGGTAAAATGTTATACTTTGTTCAAGTAATTTCTTTCAATAAGTTATATCTTGTTTAGTTTATACAGAATTTATTTTAGTTCGATTGTGTAGGAAGCTATCAGCTTATAGACACACGTTCGAATCTATTCCTGGAACCAACCAATACTGAGCAATATGTGTAAAGTTTCTTGCTCAAGGAAACAACGACTGGCCCCTGGCGGGTTTTGAACTTATCTTGTTTGAGAAAATAAGTAAATTTGTCTTGTGTTTTGTGTATAAAATGTCGATTAAAACAACATCAGCTTAATGCTTTTTGAAACAAAAAGTTATCAAATGTGGACAGTGATAAAACATATCAAAATTAAGCTACATGAACTATTGAAAGATGGTAAAATCGTAAAATGTGTTTGTCTTTTTCCAGACATCTAATGACAATATAGTTAGCAAGCGTAATTCCAAGCAACTCCAGTTTACAGAAGATTCTCGAATAAGGGACGGGAATGACAAGGAGTATGAGGAGTCTTGCAGTAATCCTATGTTCAGATTTAAAGTCTGGGACACAATATTTTTGTTTTGGAATACAGCAACAATGGTTTGTATGGACTATTTAAGAAATAATATATCCCAAACAGTGATTTTATCGCTCAATAACATCACTGTTTTGAGTTCGGATGCGAGGAATTATATCACGAGGGCGTAGCCCGAGTGATATAATGATGCGCATCCGAACGACAAACAGTGATGTTATCAAGCGATAAAATCACTGTTTGGGATATATTATTTCGATTCTAACACGACATCAACAAATAAATGTTGCCGTACTTGATAGTTAAGCAAAATTGCACCTGATTTGTTTCCGTACTTATTTTCAGAGCGTCGGATTTTTAGTGGTTATGTCACGTGTATAATGATTACGTCACATGTCTAAATATAGAACGTCAAACTGTGCATCTGTTGCATAATAACACACACTTTCTGTTCTTCTATGTTCAATAGGGAAACATGCGGGTCGTGTTAGAATTGTTAATTTACAATAATTCACATAGTTACGAGAAAATAACGTGTTCAGCTTTTTAGCTCACATCAGCACAATGTGCTTAGAGGTGAGCTTTTGTAATAGTAGTTTGTGCGTCGTCCGTCGTTATCAACAATATTTCCTAAATAACTTGATGGAATTGGCCAAACTTCATAGGGCCCTTACGTGGTCCTCTGCAAAAGTTATATGAATGGTTCCAGTATTATGCACGAGGAGGTCACAGAAGCTAAGAGTAATCTTTGAAAATAAAACCTTTGAAAGTCTTATTTTAAATCTTCTCAGAACGTTCAATGCCCAGAGTTTAGATATTTGACATGTAGCACCACCTTGTGGTCATCTACAAAAGTTATATACGTGTATAAATAATGCCCTTATAGTCAAAAATGGCCCCGCTTTGGGGTCACTTTGTTTACTCAGTCTTATATAGGAAAGTACATGCACATGTAAGTATTTTTCTGTGGAACTGTGATGCCAACTGGACCTCTTCAGAAGTCATATAAATCATGGCCCTAGGGTTTAAATGTATTTGTCCTGCTCGATTTATTCAGACTATGGTAAATATATCTTAAAAAATTCTGCTGAGAAATACAATGCTTGGAGCTTTTATATTTGGCATGAAGCTTCGTCTTGTGGTTCTGTACAAAAGTTATATAATTATGCCACCAAAGTCGGAAGTCATTGGCCTTGCCCCAGGAATTAATTACTTTGTCTTAACACACTGTATAGTAAAATGTATTTAAAAGTTTTCTTTTGTAAAAACTATAATGCCAAGAGCTTAGATATTTGGCATGTAGCATTGCCTAGCGAATCACTATATATAAGTTATGTAAGATATGCCCCTTTGAGTAGCAAATGGTAATAATTATGGGTCATTTAGTTTATACAGATTTGTAAAGTGGAAATGTCTGAAAATTCTTCTTTTCTGAATGTCATAGAAATAACAATACCCAAAGCTAAGTCTTGCCATATCAACCATTAAGTTTCCATAACAACCAGTACCTTTCCATGGCAACCATTGACTTGCCATAGGAACAATAGACTTCCATAGCAACCACTTACTTTCCATAACAACCAGTGACTTCGCATAGCAACCGGTGACTTTCTGCTGTAACCATTGACTTTCATAGCTAACATGGACTTCAAATGGCATTTAGTAACTCTCATTGCAACCATTGATTTTCCATAGCATTCATTGACTTTCCATCGTAACCGATGACTCCCATAGCAACCGTTTGCTTTCCATAGCAACCATTGACTTCCATAGCAAACTGCAAATTTCCATAGTCACCAGTAACTTCCATAGCAAGTATTGACTTTTTACATAGCAACAAATGACTTCCATAGCAAACATTAACTTTCCATGGCAACGAGTGAATCTACCACTCAATTCCATAACATTCACTGACTTCCAAGGAAACCACCGATTTTGTATAGCAACTGGTGACCTCTTTAGAAACTATTGTTATACCTTAGCAATAGCAACAAGTAATGTTTTATTATATAATAAGCACTATATGAACTTAGTGATTTAGATTTTATATTTGCTTTTGATAAAAGTTTACAATATTACTTGTTCTTTGTCATTAAGAGTTTTCACATTCTGGTGAGAGATATTATCTAAAAGATCCAATAGCTGGGTGTTTGTCTGAAGGTCATGACCTCTAGCAAGAGAAATGGTTTCAGGTCATGACCTCTAGCAAGAGGGATGTTTGATTTACAGGAATATGTATGAAATGAAATGAGCACATTATTTAGGACATTATGATTCATACCATGTATATAGTGATGATTTTAAATCATTTTTTCTTTTCAGAAATAGGTAATGTTTAAGTGGAAATATAGTATTTAAGAAAAATAAATGTAACTGTATTTCAATGTTTTATACAGCTATGTAATACAGTAAATGCCATAATTTTTATCAAGTAGGAAATCTTTTATTTTGAATCAATTATTACACTATTGCCTTTGTATTTTAACATTAGACACATATGTACATTGTTTTTTATTTGAAATGTTGAAATTTGGCCTTAACCCCCAAATTCACTAGACACACCTGCATTACGGCAAAGTTCAATTGTATAGAAACAAATTTCTACTTTTGTTCCTAATATTTAGTGATATATAGATGCGATGGCAACGCATTTTTTTCACAAATACAATCATGTTTACTCTAAGTAAATGTTCTGCAAAAAGGTTACAATATTGAAAAATTATTTAAATTTTATATATTATATTCCAATGAATCATTTAATCATGAATTTATCAGGGATGGGTTTATGGACAAATGGGCCCGGCTTTACCAGATCTCCAGCTGATAGCAGGTGTACCACTTCAACAAGCCACATGGTTATTTACAGGTTTTGCCATTGGTTATCTAGGTGGATGTCTCTTAGCTGGATTTAGTAAGTACTTCTTCAAAAATATTCATTTTTATGAGACGAAAGGTAATTTCGGACATACTATGGTATTTCATTTGTCCGTCCGTCTATCCGTTTGCTTGTTTGCCGTCCGTTAGCCACTTCGATACCCGCACAATTACTATTATTAATTGTGCTGTCGTCAAACTTTGTATGTAGGATGGTCACAACCAGTTAATGGTCCCGATTAATTTGAGGTCAGAAGTGCAAAAGTCAATATAATGTGGCATTTGTAAATTCCTTGTTTGCTCAGTTACAATTTGTACTTTATAAGGAATAAGGCATTTGTTAAACTTGATAGGAACATTGCACGTGGCCAGTAGATGACTCCTTTTGATTATGAGATTAACAATGACTTAATGGAAAATCATTTTCCGCTCAATAACTGAGAAGGAATAAATCTAGGTTTATGAAACTTGGTTAGGGCATTGCACGTGCCCAGAAGGTGGACCTTTTTATATTGAAGTCGTTAGGACAAAGGTCCAGGCTACTAAGTTAAAATAAAGTTTTGCTATCCAAATTTAGAAGGAATAATCTTAGGTTTGTAAAACTTAATTGGGACATTTATCATGGTCAAATGATTTTGAGGACAGCGCCTCAAAGTTCAAGGTCACATTAACAATTAGGTTAAAATCTTTGTCTTTGGATGAAATAATAGTCTAGATTTGTGAAACTTTTAGTAAAATTGCCCGTGGTTACTGTTCAATACGAGGTAATTAGGTTTAAAGCCAAAGTAACGATGACACGTAGGATAAAATTTAATTCCGATCAACAACTTGAGTCTCGAGCCTTGGTTTCTGAAATTTGGTTGGAATATATTGGCCATGGCAAGTTGATGAACTGTATTGAGATCATTGAGTCAAATGTCAATGTCATAAAATATTTATGTTAAATCAGTGTCTTTTCAATAAATTCTTGTATTTTTCAATGAGTCCTACCAAATTTACATCTTACGACAGCATAAATAATGCTCAGACACGTGAAACTCTTCTTTCTTTATAAAATATACATGTAATTATTTTGCCATTTTCACGAACCTATTATCTGTCCAGTTTTTTTGTCTTTAATTTACAATATAAAAGTATATGTTTATGATGACAAAGAAACTAACTTAAATCTCGTTACACAAAGCTAACAGAGATAAACATAAAATGTTGTCGAAGTTATCAATGGCAAAATTGACATTGGGCAAACTTGATCAACTAACTGATTAACCGTAAATGCGAAAACAATTGAAATTTAAATGCAGTGAATTATTAACATAACTGATATTATATTATTTGTTCCAGTTCAAGATAGATTCAATCCAAGACTTTTGCTGTTCTTATATACGTTAGGGACAGCAATTACCATTGGATTATTGCCATGGATACCCGAGTTTATTGTCATGGTAATTATACGGGTCATTAATGGAATATGTATTGGAGGCCAAGACACAGGTATGCTTTACATTTCTTCCCTCAGATACCTTTTATTTTTGTATGTGACACAATTTCAAGACTCAAAGTGTTTTCCTAGTGAAATCTATCGTTTGATACATGTACAACACGTGTGTACTTACACCAGCTAACCAGAACTAACAGTTCATTGTGTCCGCGAACACATTAACGGGGTGAATTTACATGAACAAGTTTTTTATGGTGCTTATCTAGTGACACAGGAATGAGAAAATAACGCTGGATTTTTGCAATGATACCACAAAATTTGTGCAATGCTATGGCCGCAGCATGAGCAGTAAATGATTTAAATATTTTTTTTCCGGGATCACAAAAAAGATCAGACTAACCATAACATTCATTCATAAATGACCTTGAACTTCGAGGTTAAATGTCTAAATTTGGCTCGTTTTTCCCCTGATTTGTGCTTTTAGTGACTATAAGTTTGTTATTTTTGAAAGGATTGTTTTCATACTTGAACATAATAAACTTGAACATAATAACTGTAACTGGATATATAACTTTGTTATTATTGAATGGATTGATTTAATATAATAACACAAAATTCTTTAAGATAAGAACTTTATGAGTGTATATCAAACTCAAATTGACCTTGGTCCATATATGACCTTGACCTTGAAGATTAAATTGAATTTTTACTATGATTGACTGTAACTTGATAATTAATAAATGGATTATTCGTCCATGATTTACTGCGGAATGACACAAATTATTTTGCGTGTCGACAATAAAACAGAATTACACAAAACATCAGTTTTGAACTTAATGTTCTTGCTGTGTTACAAAAACATTTTTATTTACATTTTCTTCAAATGGAAGACTATGTTTTTTGTTGCTTTTTTAACTCCGTATACAAATAATGGACGGTGCAACTGTCTGTAGTTTACCGAGTTTTAATATTGTGAAACCTGGCAAAAATTAAGTCGTGCGTAAACACGTTGTCTTCACCTAAAGGAGAACTGTTTCGTATTTGGACAAGACCTTCAAGCTGAACTTGACCTTCACTTTTAAATGACTTGACGATCAAGGCCAAATTATTGAAATTTGCTTAAATTGTCATAACTTTATTATTTATTTATGTATTCGAATTATTTTCGGACAAAGAACACTTACCAATAAAACTGACATGATGATTAATTTATATTTGGCCTTTACTTTTAATGACTTTGACCGCCAAGATCCAATATAATGTTTGAATTATATTTTGTTCAAGAAAATTATGTTTTCTTGGAGTTTTCTAAACTACAATAATCATCCTCAAACGAGTTTTCACTTAAGAAGTAACAAAAAGTCGAGCGACGCCCCCCCCCCCCACACACACACACTTGACGATGGCTATTATTATTATTATCATTATATTATTTTATGCTTATTAGGCATTCATTCCATGTTATTTGCACTATGGGCCAGTGAAGGCGGCCCTTTCATCCAGATGACCCACGTGCTCACGGCTGTTGGTGGGATTATATCTCCTCTCATTACACAACCTTTTGTAAGAGAACCGAAAGGTAAATATTCTTTACTGAAATATAATAAATGGATCTCGTTTGAGTATAGCCTTCACTATATATACATAAAAGCTTTATCAACGTTGTAAATGTTTATTCTAGTAATTAAGGATGGTTAATACCGGCACTGTTCTCTAACTCGTAACATCGCTGTGTTCTTTGTTACAGAGCGTATATTGTATTAGTATTGCATTGATCTTATTTTTTATATCTCTTGCAGGGAATGTGGAACCAGGACGTAATTTATCATATGATGTAACATCAGTAACAACAACATCTGCAGTTACAAACAACATAACATTTTTTCAGTATAATTCAACTCTAACTAGTCTTAGCACGGGCGGTGTCACGTATTCGGAAACTGTTCACAAAGAGACTCATGTTCAGTATGCTTTTCTGATTACTGGAATACTAGTTTTTTCTGCAGCTGTTCCATTCCTTGTTGCTTTTCTTCGGAAACAAGCAATTCAAAAGACCGTACGCCAATATAGCAATGATAGTGTTGATAAAAATAAGCTACCGAAATTGATAAAACAGATCATTTTATTTATTTTGTTTGTAAATTCATTTGTTGCTACGGCCTACATTGATTTGTTTCCCAGCTTCCTAACAACTTTTGTAATGAGTCAACTTGACTGGACACAGCAAGCAGCATCCTCTCTCACTTCCCTTTATTTCGGTATGTACGCTGTTGGAAACTTTATAGGAGTCTTTATTTTAGCATACATAACTCCTACAAAACTCATTGTTACCTCCTATCTTACCTCAGGAATTTCGATAGCGGGTGTTTTACTAAGCGTTTTGTATATACAGACTGAATTAGTTTGGGTCTCTGTAGGGCTCAGTGGTATAACAATGTCGGGAATATTGCCAACCCTGTTCACATTTACACAGGAAAACGTGACACCAATCACAGCGAGGCTAGCTTCAGGTCTGCTGATTTCCGGCTCCGCTGGAGTAATGGTGAATCCAATACTTTTGGGATACATGATGGAAGTGTTCTCACCAATGTGGTTTATATATCTATCTCTTGGGGAAACTGTCGTTTGCTCAATGTTGTTTGCAACAGTCTTTACATTATCAAGGCTTTATTCTGCAAAGAGAATTAAAATACACGAGACATCTGCTCTCAACGAAGAACTAAAACCTAAGGACGATGAGGTTACAGAAGATCAAACGAAAATATATCCTCGTGGAACCCTCTTTGGTGTTTAGTTAAATATGGGTTTTAGCTCAGAAGAACCGTCTAACGTCAAAATTGGTCTTCTCCTCTGAAAGTACTTCAAATTTGGTGTGAAGCAACATAGTCAAACTGCCCAATTTACGCTAAACAGAGGTCAAAATACCAAAAATCTCATTCCAGCCATTACAGCTTTTCCTATTGATCGAATGGCTGGATGATCATCAAACTTTGTCTGTAGCTTTTAAAGATAGTCATCTATCAAGTTACTTTAAAGAATAGCTTTACACTTTTACCCATAGCATTTTGAAATGCTTGTCTGTCATGTTTGTTGTTCTAAATGATTTTAATCAGCTCTAGAGCCTTATTACTTATTAGGAGCTGCAAGACCCTTAAATATGGGATTAAATAGATCAGATTGCTCCAAATTGATTTGGTTAGTTATTTTAAGAAGACAGTAGTGCCAAATTGCAATATATGTAAACTATTTATTTAGTTATATAGTATGATTGTGATCTCCCTTTGAACTACTTAAAGCCCCCCTCTCCCACTCCCTAGGGTAAATGTTTAGGTCACTGTTTCGATAATTAGCATGGTTTTAGCAAGCTTATGCGGAGGCATCGTTTAAAAGTTCTTTTCGACCCCACCCCAATGTCAAGGTCAATGTCTGCTATTAAAAAGTAATTGACAATTGGTTTCCGGACAAAAACTACAGTTCAGAATCAAACATATAGCAAGGTTGTGTGGAGATATCTCTTGGAATCTTGGAACTGCTTTAAGGCCTCAAATTGTCAAAACCAATGTCACTATAACTCAAAATAAAAGAAAATGGTTTTCAAATGATAATTAAAGACAAGTTTGATACATGTATGTTATAATCTTATATACATATATATTTATATCATTGATATAATATACTAATGATATATTTCATTTTTTTTTTTTGTTGATATTTTCTTATTTTCTTGGCCTTTAATTTACCTTGAGCATCAAGATCAATTTCTTTAAAATTGCTTACATTGTCGTACATTTGCTACTGATTTAAGATTTAATTCATACTTAGACAAAAGAACACACATGACAAAACAGACATGTTAAATCATTTTGATATGACCTTTAATTTACCTTTATTATTGAATTTTGCTAACATTGTCACAGCTTTGATATTTATTGATTCATTCCTCATGTTCTTGGACAAAAAGAACACTTAATGACAGAAATGACAATTTAAATATGGCAATGACCTTGACCATTAAGGTCAAATAGGATTTTTTTAATCATTTGTTACCAAAATATAGTGTAAAATAGGAGTATTCGCTACTATAATATACTTCCTTTGATGTGTTTGACTTTAGAAATAAGAAAAAGACGAGCGTGGCCCCCGCTAGGCGGTAGCTCTTGTTGATAAAATCAGTATTGTATCTGGTCACCATTCTGTCATTCCTGGGTGGATTATAAAATAACTAACCATAAATGTTTTGGATATTATGACGATGTGTGGCGCGCAAGAATTATGTCATCTTTCTATAATTTCTGGGTGGATTATAGATTCATATAGAAAGTTATGCCCCATTAACTTTAATAAAAAATAAGTTTCCGTCCATTATCTCCACAACAGTTGTACATATTCAACTCAATTTTAACATATGTCATTGTTATTAGAATGATTTGTACAAATAAAATTGGAACTAAATATTAAAGCATTTGAAATTTTGGCTGCATGCGGGGGCATTCGTGGCGTTACGACACATTTCTAGTTTTCAATCTTGTATTTATATGTACCACATTTTGTTTGCATGTATTTCATTCTAACTATTGTCTACGTCACAGGAGAGCTGTGATTAATAAAAGTGTTATATTATTTATTTTGTATATTATATACAAACACACAAAAATGTACTTATTTTATGTACTGAAGACTTCTGTAAAGCCCCAGTCACATTAGAGCTTACGACCAGAGAAGACCAGTTCACGATCACCAGTGACCTCTGGTCGCGGACAATCTTTAAAACGTCTTACGACTGTCATCGGTGATCTTTGACAGTCGCAGGTTATCTTATTTAGGTCCCACGTAGAGAGGTTATTGAGCTTATGACCTGCCGTGCGATTGTCAATGATGACTGGTCTTACGATAGTCGCAGAAGTAAATTTATACGTGCAAAAATGGTTTTGGTCGCAAACAATCGCTGATGATCGTCAGTTTTACAAGTCGCCGGTGGTCGAAAGTAATCTTAAGCTCTAGTGTGACTGGGGTTTAACATGGCCTTTAGTACTTGACAAAAAGGGCACGTGTGTGTGTGTGTGTGTGTGCGTGCGTGCGTGCGTGTGTGCGTGTGTGTGTGTGCGTGTGCGCGCGCGCGCGTGTGTGTGTGTGTGTGTGCGTGCATGTTTGTGTGCGTGCATGTGTGTATGCGTGCGTGCATTTCAACCAAACTTGCCAGAGTGTTCTGTGTGTGAAGGGCTTCTAAAGTTCTTTCTCAGAATTATGTTCCATGGCAAGCAAAACGGGAATATAGAAAGAAACATAAACCATTTGTATTCACTCTAAAACCACAAGGCCTAGAGCATAGATATTTTGCACCAAGTAATGCATTGTCTGAAGATTGTTCAAATAATAGCCATGAGATCAAAATTGGCCGCAGGTTCAGAAAATGAAAGGGCTTACATATTAAGCATGATCTATTGTCTAGTGGATAGCTACCAAGTTTTGTTTTTCAAATTAAAGTCTCTGGTTTGGCATCATCGTTTGCTCCTATTTATGTTCTGTTCGTACTTGTGTTGTATTTTTTTCTCCTTCTTGTGTTTAATAATGCGGTGACATAGCATTAGCATTTTTTTCACAAATGCAATCTTGTTTATGCTTTTGTTTAAGGTATCTACTTTCAGTATCGGTTCTCAAATTACTGATTGCTATTTTTATGTTAACAACATACAAGTTTGAAGTGGGCAATATCATAAAGCATCGATAAAAATGTATTTATAATACACAGTTACTTAAAATTACTTAAATACAATCACTAAAACTGTCTAGATCCTTTTTGGTTTATTGCCAACAACCATATATGATGTATCAAATTTATATACATGTATGTATTACATATAAATAAATTTAGAAATGAGTATTTTTTCGTTTTACATGTGCCATAAACCCCACGATACCTTTTATTTCTATATAACGTTTCTGGTGTTAAGGTAGCTGCTTTCCTACCAAAATTTGACAACATCTCAGATCTTGATGATTTTTGGTATGCAAACACGTAGATATGTAAGCTTTACTTCAGCAGCATTATTTTGTAAATAAAGAGCGTTAGTATAACGTCAAAGCGTCCCCTATTGGCGGTGGCAGAATCGCGCCTTTTTATAAAAGAACGGACTGTTTTTATCAATTCTCATTCGATTTTCTTTAATCAAATTTTAGAATATTCCTTCATATTGATGTCTTTCTCTTAACTTTGCTGAATATACTGCGATTCTACGGCTAATTTCCCTCCGTTCTGAGTACACATCTGTTAACTGTTGAAAATACCGTCCGTCATCGCAATACCAATTGTGAAATATAAAAAAATCAACACGGTAATTTTTGCTATAATTTTTAGCAGGTATTGAAATCATGAAGGAAAATATTTATGCAATGCAAATATATCTGGCGCAGTCACAGTTTCATCATGCTATGTGCATCTCGGAACTACATAAAGTTTCATGTTACCATATGTAACAGTTTCGAATAGTATAAATCAATTAGTTGGAAAATTCTGAAATTGTCATTTTTGAAATGAATATAATTAATCACGACAAATAAAGTCACGATTGACAAAACTTAGTTAGTGCGTTTGCGACCAGCATGGATCCATACCAGCCTGCGCTTCCGCGCAGTGTGCTGTTCGCTCACAGACGCTATTACAAGTAGAGAAACTGATAGCGAACATCATGGATCCTGATCACACTGCGCGGATGCGCATGCTGGTCTGGATCCATGCTAGTCGCAAACGCATAACGTTTGCTTTGTTGTGACGCAGCTCATTTGTATCTTTAACTGGTAGTCTCTAGCAGACAATTATTATAATTATTATTATTTATTAATAGCCATCAGTTATTCTATTTTCTCGTGCAACTAAGTATACTTTGCGGTACTTAACCATTTGAAACCAGCAAGAAAATAACAAATGACATTTATGGTACAAAAATTGTCATTAGCTGCAACATATGGGTATATTCTGCTGTATGGCACAAGGAAACAACAATATATTCAATCAAAATCAGTTTTAATGGGCCAGACGTAGACCGTGTGTCACCCGTTTTGAAAACAGTATGTCATCATTTAAATCGCGGTAATGGTGTTACATTTCAGTTTTCTCATGTTTCAGTTAAAATTTCTACATGTTACTTTGCTTGATTTTAAATATTATTATTATTCTTACTTTGTAACTGAAAATTAAATTTTTCAACAAGCAAGAACATTTAGGAAATGATGATTGTTTTAGACGTATGCATAAATTTAACGGACTATTGTTGCTTTTTGCAGAAGTTTGTAAAATGTTGTTCTATTTTACGTAAAAATCTAGAGATTTAAAATATTTTGCACAAAAACTTGGTTGTTAAGGTGTTTGAATTAAATCATTATATCAATTCTGACCAATTTTAACAATGGTCACATAAAAATATGCCATTACTGCGAAATAAGTGATGACGCGGAATTAGTGATGTTGAGTATAGCCGTAATTAATATGCATGCTAAATTTCTCACGCATTACATTTATGCCTCAGGATACCGGGCAGAGTTTCAAAAAAATACGCATCGGGCTGGCGAAATCGAGTTTTAAGTACAACTTAAACCGGACGATAATTTTTGGGTCAGTGAGTTAAAAAATTGACTTGGATATTTGCATTTATAATAAAGTGCATGTATGTCAGTCCAGTGATCAGCAGAATTGTTAATGAAAGGGTTGTGGGAAGGGGGTTTGTCCTCTTTGAATTCATTTTGCAAAAAAAAAAATGGTTGGCTACTCCTGATCATTTTTATGTGTCAGGCATTTCATTCTTCTTAAAAACCTCTGTAGCAGGAATACTCAATTTTTAGATAGAGATAGGGGCCATTTCTCATAATGTAAGTCTATGAGAAAGTCAAAACGAAAGTCTGACATTTATTGATATACTATATGTTTTTAAGCGGAGCGGTGGTCATGGAACCTTTATTTAAATGCACTTTCGTGACATTTCATAACGAGAGGGCAATAATGGCCCAAATATCGCTCAACTGAATATTAATCTCTCTTTGACAAGGAACAAGTTATATTGTAAACTATAATTGAAAGCAGATGTAAAATCTTACTCTTAAACTGTTTTCACATTTTATATTTGTATCTGAATCTTGTAAAAACATAACTGGTTGCTATTAGTAAGGGAAAACAACATATTGCTATTGGTAAGGGAAAACAACAGTTACGTAAGAAGTCACTGGTTGCTATATAAAATCAATGGTTTCCTTGGAGGTCAGTGCCTGCTATGAAATTTAAAGGTAGATTAGCTTACTTTTGGTTCCTTTTTTTTCGGATTTTAGGTTTCTTTCGTTATTTCCAAAAGCTTCCAAAGGTGATGCAAATCCGTTGATTCGGGTATTTCGTATCGACAAAATGCTTTCTATTAAAATTTCGATTGGATTAGATTTCAATTACTTTGATTAATGTTTTTCTTTGAGCTAAAACGACATTTATAATAATAATAATAATAATAATAATAATAATAATAATAATAATAATATTAATAATATTAATAATAATAATAAAATCTTTATTTATAGAAGGTAACATACAAAGTTCACAGTAACAAGTATACTTATTTTCAGTATGGCCTTCTGATTTAACAATAACAAAGAAAAAAATGTAGATCTATACAAATATTTAAAATCTTTTGGTATATACCGGTATAAAAAAATATTTATATTATTAAATGTAAAGGTTAGATAATTTTTATTCATTCATCCGACTGACACTCATATTATTAATTATGGTAATTATAGATAAGCTCGTAATGATTTAAAAGATTGTAAACTCGAACATTGTTTGATAGTAATAGGTAATTTATTCCAAACGTTACTTAGAAAATAAATTTTACAGTTGTTTTTGAAAGATTGTTAAGTCGAACATTGTTTGATAGTAATAGGTAATTTATTCCAAACTTCAATACTGAAATAAGAAAAAGAATCCTTTAAATAATTTGTATGAGGTATACTTTTCAGTACAAGATCTTTATGAGCGATTGATTCATTGTGAGAGAAACTTAAAATTTCACTCATATATAACGGTGCCAGATTGTTTAAAGATTTATACACCATAATTGCTGTGTGGTATTTCACTCTGAAATTGAATTTCAGCCATTTAAGTTTATTAAAAAGATCTAATGTTGGTGAACGTATCGGTCTATTAAGTATAATTTTTACAGCTCTTTTTTGAATTGAGTTTACTTTATTGTATGTATGAGTATGTATGTCCTTTCCCCATACCGTACAAATATAATAAATAAAAATAACGGTAAAAATGAACTAAAACGAAAAAACTTGAGTATGAAATAAATTGTTTTGTAGTTCTTATTTACTTCTTTTTTACTTTTATCTTTTAAGAAGATAAATATAGAGATGCCCTCTGCAGATTTAAAACTTCGTATTGAAACAGGAAGATATGAAAATTTAATATGAGTGAACAGACTGTGAATATCAGATTTTACTAGTACGTCCGCATTATCGTGAATTGAGAGAAAAAATAAAACCATATTTTGTCATTGGCAAAACATTAAACTCCACCACATCCAGTAAAATATTGAATGATTTATCTAAAATCATTTACTCGGCAATGATCGAGAAATGAGAAAAAGAAACGTGTAATGAAACCTTTTTCTACATAGTTTTAGTTTTAGCATATGTTTTTTATGATATGACAAAATACTGCTGTTTTAATTCAAATTTTGATACACATATTGCTGTCCCTCATTTTAATTGTAGAAAAAAAAAGATTAGTTAATTAAATAATTTGTCATCATTGTGTATGCTCTAGTGCTTTATATTTTTGTCTTCATGTATATAGAGGATTTTAATTTCGTGTAAGTTCAATACTGATTTTTTTGAACGATTTGAATAAAATAATATTTTCTCGCCAGAGGCTCGCACAATATAATTTATTCAACTCCTTCAATAAATTCAATAATGAACTTACACGAATTTAATATTCTCTTTATCACATACCAAAAATAAAGACCGTTTAAAGTTTTCATTGACATTTTTTTGCTATCATTTACCACGTTTTTCCACTATGTTTGTATAACGTGAAAATATGGGTGTCGCAAAAGCGGCACGGGTATGTGATAAATAATGGTTTTGCGACATTTAGCGGCGGTTGCGACATTTAGCGTCAATGGTGCGACATTTAGCGGCAAGTGCGACATTTAGCGGCGTTGCGACATATAACGGCGCCACATACATTTTATTTGGATTTTAAAGGCGTTTTAGCTCCACACCCCAAGTGTCTGTGATCTTTCATTATCGTAGAAAATTGGTTCTTACTAAGACTAACATATAGAAGAAAGACCCCATGCATTTATTAATGACCCAAAACAAATAATTTGAAACATACTTTTTATTATTCTTGTATAGAGTTAATGAACACTGTTCCTATAGAAATAAGAAATTCTACAAGTATCAAATTGTTTAAATCACATTTCAAACATTTATTATCATCCATGAGGCAGAGGTGTTTGCACGATGTTATAGCCATGGAATGACAACCAAAGTATAAGAACTAGTTAATTAACATACAGATTTAGTGCGATTTAGAGACGGTTCATTTTGCTACGATTTGTACAGCCATTCTGTGTTTTTTTTTATTTTACAGTAGCCTATTTGTTTGTTATTTTTTCTATTTTCTTGTCAATGAATTGTAAATATCAAAAAAAGTAAGTATCGGGTTATATATATATTTGAGTGTAAGCTGTTTTGAAAAAGAAAGACACCATGCATATTTTTACATTATAATAGACGTTGAAACAAAGCTGCTTACTGTATATTAAGTTTTTTTCTTTATATATATATATGATAAGTAGATGTGCTGGGATTGACAAATACATTTGTATAAATTTTATTTGAATTTTAAGGCATTTTGAGCTCCAAACCCCAAGTGCCTGTGATACTATATACATGTATATGTCTGTCTTTGTTGGAATGGTATAATCTCTAGATATAATTATTTGCATATTTTCATGTTTATTGAAGGCCTTGTTCAAGATATGATTTTGGACTATGTGTGTTAATAAGCTACCTCCGTTAAATAAAGAGTTTATTATTATTATTATTATTCATGGACGGTGCAAGTCTATAACGATATTCATGTTTATTCGTGATTATATTCTACTTCCGTCTTTGTGTCAAAAGTCGATCTCACCGAAAAATATCTATTATTTCATGGTTCGAATAATATCATTTTGAATTAAATCATGATACACAGTCTTTTCATCATAAACAACACAGGGTGAGTAATTATTTAAATATCACGTAAAATGAACCCCCCTGCTGTTAGAATATGTATACTATCATAATTTCGGACATCGTATACATTTCGGACATCATATGACTGTATCGATAACACTAAACACGGATTTTTTTATTCTTGTTTTCAAACTAAAAGTAATATGAATAAGGCAAAGCCTCAAAGCGAGCTCTTTGACATTATGATTTAAATCCATCAGCAAACACACTTTCGGCCACACTCAACACAATCACACGGTCATTTATGCATTATAAATATGATACATATTGAATCCACCCTACACAGAACATAAATGGGGTGCGCCATAAATGGGAACCATAATAGGTCAGGGAACCAGATTATAGTCTGGGTAATCTGAAATTAGGCAAAGCCTATGAACGGGGAAGTTGGTTAAAATAATCATTTTTATTTAACATTTTCGTTTTAAAAGTGGCATTCGGTTTTGTGCATCGTTCTGTTTATTCTGGTTCCCTATCCTATTTTGGTTTCCAAAGTTGAACAAGGCTATTTTACATGAAACATTGCATAGTGAACCTCTACCAAGGAAAAGCGTAGTAAAAATTATCGTATTTTCTCTCTCTTTAAATGATGTAAAAAATCCATACAAGTCCTGTTTAAACACATCATCATCCTGTCACCTTTGATTTACACAGCAAGCTCTCACGAATTCTCCTCCAAAAATTAATTGCAGTTGACACCTTTGATCTCGCCAACAATCTGACTTCATCGATGCTGCTTGCTTTATTTACAATGTGTCAACACACCCCACTAGTTGTCCATGCTAGAGTGCAATGCTCTATTGGTAGTGTGTGTATTGTAAATTGTATACCCTTTTGTGTTATTTTAACAGTTACTGACTTCACTCAGGCTATTTTGCATGAAACATTGCGTAGTGGACCTCTACCAAGATTGTTGAATTATAATTTTGGTAGATATAATTTCTAAACTATTTTTACGATTTGTTTATGAATCAATAAAAAGAGGGTAAGAATATAATTATGTTCAGTGAATGCTTTGAATAATAATATTGTTCACCAGTATATATCGAACACAATACTAATAAACCTGGGACAAAGTATGAAGTTTATTGTATGTCCCTGGGAGGAAACTGAATCTCTATTACCTTTTACAAATCTGGGACATACCATTCCTGGTTCATATTATTTCCAATACAAATGTATAATGAAAGCAATGCAAGCTCAAAGGCATTCTGCCTAAATGTATTTGTCAAAAATGGTAAAATTATTATAAAATAATCACCTGTTGATCATCAAGAACAAGATAATCCATTGGAGATTATGTTATGATTATTTTACTATTAATATATTAACAAGAGAAATAAGCAGCCTGTGTGAAAGATTAGCACACAACCTAAAATTTAACCCTTTATCCTCATCAATGTTTCGTATCTTTTTACCTTTTTAGCTCGACTATTCGAAGAATATGAGAGCTATTGTAGTCGCCCCGGCGTCGGCGTCAGCGTCCGCGTCGGCGTCTGCGTTGGTTAAAGTTTTTTGTAAAGTCAAATATCTCAATTATTACTTGAGATATTCAATTGAAACTTACAATACTTATTTATATAACAAGGTACATCAGATTGACAAGTTGGATAACTCTGCCTTCAATATTGACAGAATTATGCCCCTTTTTTACTTAGAAATTTTGGTTAAAGTTTTTTGTAAAGTCAAATATCTCAATTATTGCTTGAGATATTTAATTGAAACTTTCAATACTTATTTATAGTAACAAGGTACATCAGATTGACAAGTTGGATAACTCTGCCTACAATATTGACAGAATTATGCCCCTTTTTTACTTAGAAATTTTGATTAAAGTTTTTTGTAAAGTCAAATATCTCAATTATTGCTTGAGATATTCAATTGAAACTTTCAATACTTATTTATAGTAACAAGGTACATCAGATTGACAAGTTGGATAACTTTGCCTACAATATTGACAGAATTATTCCCCTTTGGAACTTAGAAATTTTGGTTAAAGATTTTTTGTAAAGTCAAATATCTCAATTATTGCTCGAGATATTCAATTGAAATTTAAAATCTTTTTTTATAGTAACAATGTACATCAGTTTGCAAAATTGCATAATTCTGCCATCAATATTTGCAGAATTATTTGCCCCTTTGAAACTTAGAAATTTTGGTTACAGGTTAATGGTCTTCAAAGATATTAACTTGAAACTTTACACATGCTCTTAGGGTCATAATTGAAGGATCATAATTGTATGTCACTGACCAAGTTCCATAACTCTATCTTGCATTAAGGCTGATTCATATCCCCTTTTCTACTTAGTCTCTTGGTTAATGTTTACATGCAAGTTTTACATATCTCAATAACTATTAAAGATATTAATTTAAAACTTCACATATGCATTTATGGTCATAATTGTAGGTCACTGACAAAGATCCATAATTCTATCTTGCATTTAGGCTGATTTTTCTCCCCTTTTTTCAACTTAGAAATTCATGATAAAGTTTTGCTTGTAAGCTGTTATCTCAATTACTACTGAAGAGTTTGTGTCTTTTTTGGGACAATTTTATGCATTCATAATAATAAAGCAGTAATTTACTTGATAAAACATCTTAATAACAAGCCTTTGTACCTTTTCTGTCAAATTTATGTATTCATAGGTAATTGATATTATTATACTTAATAAAACACCCTTGTTACATTACCTTCAGAAAAGTCAAGACAATACTGTATAATTAGACTCTCTCTAAGGCCTATAACATGAATTTATAAAAAAAAATTAGCCCTTTTGTGAACTTAAAAAAAATTTAACATTATCAAGGCTCTTTTACTGTCAAGCACTTAGAATAGTCGAGCGTGCTGTCCTACCGACAGCTCTTGTTAGATGTAGATGTGCAATTAAATGAACTCACCAGGTAACATATTTATATAGACTTTTCAAATTTTCCAGGGATGTGTTTATGGAGAAACACTGGAAGAGTGTGATACACAAATCTATTTGTGATTATTTCTTTGAATCGCAAACAAAGGTAACATATACGATCACTTGCTACATAGCAATACCTATAGAACTGGGAGTAAGATACATCATTACATGGGGTAGTAAATGATGTAATCACACAACGTTTTGGTCTTGAAACTCTACAAAAATTGTTCAAATTATAGCCCTGGGATCAACATTGGCCTCTCCCTAGGGGGTCATTGATTCTCCTTATAATTATGTATATAGTAAAAACTTAAAAAATCATTTTCTCTGAATAAACAAAAGGTAGCGGCTAGATATTTGGCATGAAATGTGGATAATACAGTCTTAAACGCACCTTTCTGAGGTCTGGTTCTCGACTGCGGATCTTCCTCCATCGTCAGCTTGGTGCCCGCCAGATGTTTCGGCCCTTATCCAAGTACATCTGTAATGGCGGGTGGGCCCACCGTCTTACGGTGTGGAGGTTGATCGCATCCAGCTTGTCTCCTCGCGTCGTAGCCACAGCCAGCTAGACGCCCGCTCAGCAGCCTGGCTCAGCTTCTGGATTGCCCGGCGCCTGTCTCTGCCAGTGGTGCCAACAGCTGTCATCAATCTACATACAGATTGCGCACAGAACCCTCTAGCGCCTACTTCGATGGGGAATAGCCAAGTCCGCCAACCTCGGTGCCGGCACTGCTCAAGTAGTTCAGTGTACTTGGCCTTCTTCCTCTCATAGGCCTCTTCACATCTCGTCTCCCAAGGTACTGTCAACTCGATGACAACGAGCTTCTTCCCTGTCTCTGACCACAGTACAATGTCTGGTCTCAAGTTGGTCTGGACGATACCCGGGAACACAAGCTTCTTTCCTAGATCGACTGACATATTCCATCCTGTGGCGCCGTCAAGGATCGATTTCTTCTGTGAAGCTTCTGTCGTCGCAGTTTCACCCGGTCTCACAAAGTTGATGTGGCCTGCCTGTGAGCTACTTCTGCGTGGCTTCTTCTTCTCCCCTTCCAGCCAATCGGCAATCTCTCTGAGGACGTTGTCGTGTCGCCAGCGATATCTGCCCTGCGTCAGTGCTGTGGAGCAGGAAGATAAAACATGTTCCAGAGTGCCTGGTTTCTTGCACAGACTGCATGTTGGGTCTGTGTGGTTAGTCCCCATCGGCAGAGGTTTAGCTGGAGATGGCAGGAGGTCATGAATTGACCTGAGGAGGAAGGATAGACGAAGTGGTTCATACTTCCAGATGTCTTCCCAGGTCAGCTTCCTTTCCATGGTTTCCCACGTTGTCCATGCACCCTGCGCACCCATCTCTACCGCTCTGGCCTGTCTCTTGTTCTCCTCTTCCTTCCGTACTTCTGACTGTATCAGGGCTCGCCTCTCAGTCTGGTTGGCTTGGCTCCATAGGAGTGTTTTGGTTGCACCAATACCTTGTCGTCCGACAGCCGTTACACCGACGATGTCCTTGTGCATGAGAGAGCTCTCCGCCTGGTTGACAGTCTCTGTCGCTGACCACTTTCTTCCAGTACGGGTAACGATCCCTGCTTCCCGGATCTGCTCATCTGGGGAGTCTCTTAGGGTAAGCACCAGTCTTGTCTTCGCCGTCTTGAATTCTTTCTACCAGTGAAGATAGTGGGAGTTGCAGTTTGTTGGTTTTCCCAACAGTCCAACACTGGAGAAACTGGGTGGGATTCCAAGCCACTTGCGAAGATGTCGGCTGGTGATTCTCTCTTAAGGCTTCTATTGTTGAGCTGGGTACCTCGTACAGCATCATTGGCCAGATCAGCCTTGGTAGTAAGGCATGCTGGTACAGCCAGGCCTTGAACTTCCCAGGTAGGTTGCTCGGTCTATCTTCTTCAGCCCGTCTTCTACCTGGTTCTCTAGCTTCTTGACGTTGTCCTTGTCTACTAGGCTGGCATCAAACCACTTCCCAAGGCACTTTGATTGGGTTCTTCGTGATGGATGGGATCTCCTCGTTCTGTACTCGGAGCACAAATCTGTCTGTCGTCTTGCCTTTCTTGATAATTGAGGGACCTGGACTTTACGGCCTTGAATTTCATTCGGGCCCATGACGCGACGTCTGTCAGTGCTGTCAACATCCATCTAGCCTGGACGTGTGTTGGTGTCGTCAACGTGAGGTCATCCATAAAACCTCGGCTTGATGGGAGGTAGATACCTGACTCTGTCTTTGGTCCGCGGGTCTCTCTAATGGCAGCATTGATGAGCAGATTCATCCCCATGACGAAGAGTACCACAGAAACAGTACATCCGGTGACTATACCTTTCTCCAACTTCTGCCACTTCGTCAGCTGGTCACCAACAGAAAACCGAAGCTTGATGCCGTCAAGGTAGCTGGTGATGATTTTTTGGACATGGTTGTCGACGTGGTAGTGCTGGAGGGCTGTGTAGATCAGCTGATGGGGAATAGATCCGTATGCGTTGGCAAGATCGAGCCAAACTACTGTCAAGTCTTTCTTCCCCGTCTTCGCCTCTTGAAATACTTTGTAGTGGATCTCTACCAACATTGTTCAAAAAATCCTTGTGTCAAAATTGCCCCCCCCTTTTGGGTCATTGATTTTCATTATGTGCATACAGTAAAAACTTAAAAAATCTTCTGCTCTGAAAGTGCAAGGCCTAGAGCTTAGAAATTTTGTGTGTAGCATCATCTAATGAAACTCTAAAAAAATTGTTCAAATTGGCATTGCTCCAGGAGGTCATTGATTTTCCTTATATGTACAAATGTATATAGTAAATATTTAAAAGATCATCTTCTCTGAATTGACTAAGGCAGGATGTTAGATATTTGGCATGAAACATTGTGTAGTAGACCTCTACCAAGAATGTTCAAATTTAAGTCCTGGAAATATACTTGAAATTAGAAAGATTGTTTGTACATGTATGATTTCAAGCTAAAGTTCAAATATAGGTCATCAGATTCTGTGGTCAAAAACTAGGTTACACAACCCAAATATGGAAGAACCTTGCTAACACTGTAGAATATACTGTTACAGTCCAAATATCTTGGAAATTAGTCAGAAAGATTGTTTGGAGGGTTTCTAGGTCATGTTTGAATAAGTCATCTGGGGTCAAAAGTAGGTCACTCAACCCAAATTATGGAAAAATACTGTTTACATTCTAGAAGTAATATTTTCATTCCAAATATCATGAAAATTTGTCAGAAAGTTTGTTTTGATGATTTCTAGCTCAGCTTTGAACATGTGTCATCCATGGTCAAAATCTAGTTCACACAGACTAAAGAATGGAAAAACTTTGTTGCGGTTACATTTTTAGCCCAAATATCCTGGACATTGGTCAGAAAGATTGTTTCAATAATTTCCAGTTAAGGTTTGAATTAGGGTAATCTGAGGTCAAAAAAAGGCCTATATTAACTTTTGCACAATTTCAGGTGCAGTTATGAATGTTAAGATATCAGTTTAAGTTTGTGGCATTATATCTGCCTTTCATTTATTGCTAACAGTATTAATTCAGAGCCTCGGGTGAGCAATATAAGGGCTATCATGGCCTTGTTGTTATAGTTATCATGCTTTTGATGCGAGTAAAAAGTCTTGGTGTCCCTACTGGGCTGCCTGGGGGGCATTTTTCTGTTTCCAATGACAGTACTTGTTTGATAAAGAATTATTAACATAACTATTTCATTAGTTGAATATAAAGCTTTTCATACATTATTGAGCTTTATAATTTCTGAAATTATATGTAGCTTTAGTTTTCCATACTTTTTATAATAATCAGTGTATCACAATATGTATATGGGTTGCCTGTATTGCAATACAAGTTTTGTTGTTTCATTGCAACCCTAGGTCTTAGTTCATAATGTACATGTGTATTATTGGAAAGATTAGTTTGCACAATTTTTATTACCAATACTTTTATATATTATGTTTTCTACAGGCAGGTTCAGTGGATGATGTTCCACCTATTATACCAACCCCTCACCATTATCTTATCAACATATACAGAAATCAGCTCTATTATGTTGCTGTGGTAACTACAGAAGGTATGTGCAATTAGTAGCAACTGTTCAATAATAATATGATTCATTGTACCATAACTTATTGCTTGAATATAATATTAGAAAAATCATTGTTTTAATATTCTCAATCAAACATCTTCAACATCATCAATGATATGGGCATGTCTGCATTGTTGAAGTTCTCTTTTAGATTGCCAGGCTTTCCAGTAGGAGAGCTTAACATATTTTCCACTGACTCTCTTTATCAGACAATATTTACACGTCTGTAGGCCCCCTTGCAGGTCCAGGGCAGAGGGGTCAGGGGGCAAAGCTCCATAGATTTAGTAATTTTAGGATGATTTGATTATATCATTTCACGTCCATTTAATATAACTTAAATGCGGTTAAAATCCTCAAAAAAAGGCAATTTTATTACCTATTACATCCAGGGAGCTACTAAACGCTGGCACTTTCACATTTAAAATGAGAGCCTTTTGATAGCTCCTGTTAGGCTCTGAAGCCGAGCGTTGGTTGAGTAAAACAAACCTGTTCGTACGAGCTGTGGAAATGACCCAACACTTCCACGTTCTCTTATTTATTAGGAGCGAACCACGAATAATAAAGACATGAGAGCACAGTATAGTAGCATTGTTCATTGTCTTTCAAGTCCAAGAACCCGGCTAAATACAAGGAGCAGTCGGAATCCTGCTTTCTCATTACTGTTAGTTTAGTGTTCGGTTAGTATGTTTTGACACGACCAATTAGAAATATATTAGTCTTATATTATTTGGAATTCGCTTGTGAAAAATTATGACTAATGTCACAATAGTAGAATACAGTCAGTTATGCAATATCAGAGTGGGCATACGAAAAATTTTAAAATGTGTTTTTTAAGAGAAGGTACATGATTATACATGTTGGTGAGACACATATTAGTGAAATTGGTGGTCGGTACTGGGATTATTCTTAATTCGGTCAACAGCTACATGTATGCGGTGCTTATTATTTATAATATATACTAGTGTTGGTCATCTCTCAAGCCTTGATTACTTATGATACTGGTCTGTTCTTATAATCGCTTAAGACATATAGCCTACTCTTCGTCATCCTGTAAACTGATATAAGACAAGAATTTCTTAATATAATATTAGACTTAACTATGACACATGTGTAAATACATGTAAATAGCTAAACAGGTACAAAATGTTCAAACAAAAGTATCAAGGGTGTCCTCCCGTGATTACATCTGTGCCTTAAAAAAAAATTATTTTTGATTACTTTAAATATTATTCACTTAAAACAAATTTTCATTAGGGTGTTACCGTGTATATTGCCACGCCTATGCGATGGTCTTGTGTTTATTATGTCTCCTAATTTTGGGAGACATATTGTTTTTGCCTTCACCGTCTGTCTGTCCCTCTTTCTGCATTAAGCTTGCCCGGCTTTCACTGCTGATTGGATTTCAACCAAACTTTACAGGAGTGATCAGTACCATCACCGGCATGTTCTGCTTCTCTGCACAAAATGACTGCCAGAGCTAAAAATAGAAAAATCTTATTTGGCTTTCACAGGTCAAAGTGCTGGTGGGATTTTAATGATAAGTTTACAGGAGTGATCAGTACCATTCTTAGTTGTGCATATGGCTGGCATGCTTATCCCAGGCTGCGACGTTGAGAATTGACAGAGAATTGAAATTAAAAGAATTCATGTTTTATTTCCAGTGCCTCCATTATTTGTGATAGAGTTCCTGCACCGTGTGGTAGACACATTTGAAGACTACTTCCAGGGTTGTAGTGAAAGCATTCTCAAAGAATACTATGTCATAGTTTATGAGGTTTGTTTCAGTTGACTTTTGTAAAAATAAATAATTATAATGTGATGCATGCTTGACATCATTGATTTATTAGGCACAAAATAGTAATATCACAGTTGTGATCATCTTTGTATGTCACCAGTAGAGATCTTGAGCTTAAAGCAAAGCTGTGATCATCTTGATATGTCACCAGTAGAGAACTAGAGCTTAAAGCACAGCTGTGATCGTCTTGGTATGTCACCAGTAGAGAACTTGAGCTTAAAGCACAGCTGTGATCATGTTGGTATGTCACCAGTAGAGAACTTGAGCTTAAAGCACAGCTGTGATCATGTTGGCATTTCACCAGTAGAAAACTTGATGAGCTTAAAGTACAGCTGTGATCATGTTGGCATTTAACCAGTAGAGAACTTGAGCTTAAAGCACAGCTGTGATCATGTTGGCATTTCACCAGTAGAGAACTTGATGAGCTTAAAGCACAGCTGTGATCATGTTGGTATACTATAAGTAGAGTACTTGATAAGCTTAAAGCACATCTGTGATCATGTTGGTATTCCAGCAGTAGAGAATTTGATGATGTGATCATGTTAGTATACCAGCAGTAGAGTACTTGATGAGCTTAAAGTACAGCTGTGATCATGTTGGTATGCCACCAGTACAGAACTTGATGAGCTTAAAGCACAGCTGTGATCATGTTAGTATGCCACCAGTACAGAACTTGATTAGCTTAAAGCACAGCTGTGATCATGTTGGTATACCACCAGTAGAGTACTTGATGAGCTTAAAGCACATCTTTGATCATGTTGGTATGTCACCAGTAGAGAACTTGATGAGCTTAAAGCACAGCTGTGATTGTGTTGGCATTTCACCAGTAAGAAGAACTTGATGAGCTTAAAGCAACAGCTGTAATTGTGTTGGTATGTCACCTGTAGAGTACTTGATGAGCTTAAAGCACAGCTGTGATTATGTTGGTAATGTCACCTGTAGAGTACTTGATGAGTTTTAAAGCACAGCCTTGTTTGGGGGAAATCCCATGTTTTGGCCCAATAAATTACTCACCAAGTAGAGAACTTGAGCATAAAGCAAAGCTGTGATTCATCTTGGTATGTCACCAGTAGAGAACTTGAGCATGCATAAAGACAGCTGTGATCCTTGTTGGTATGTCACCCAGTAAGAGTACTTGATGAGCTTAAAGCACAGCTGTGATCATGTTGGCATTTTCACGCAGTAGAGAACTTGAGCATAAAGCACAGCAGTGATCGATGTTGGCATTTCACCAAGTAGAGAACTTGAGCTTAAAGCACAGCTGTGATCATGTTGGCATTTACAGCTATTAGAGAAACTTGAGCTTAAAGCAAGTCTGTGATCATGTTGGGCATTTCACCAGTAGAGAACTTGATGAGCTTAAAAGCACAGCTGTGATTGTGTTGGTATACATCAGTTAGAGAGTACTTGATGAGCTTAAAGTACAGCTGTGATCATGTTGGGTGAAGTCACACCAGTAGACAGAACTTGATGAGCTTAAAGCACAGCTGTGATCATGTTAGTAAGCCACCAGTACAGAACTTGATGAGCTTAAAGTACAGCTGTGATCATGTTGGTATGCCACCAGTACAGAACTTTATGAGCTTAAAGCACAGCTGTGATCATGTTGGTATGCCACCAGTACAGAACTTTATGAGCTTAAAGCACAGCTGTGATTGTGTTGGTATACCATCAGTAGAGAACTTGATGAGCTTAAAGCACAGCTGTGATCATGTTAGTATGCCACCAGTACAGAACTTGATGAGCTTAAAGCACAGCTGTGATCATGTTGGTATACCACCAGTAGAGTACTTGATGAACTTAAAGCACATCTTTGATCATGTTGGTATGTCACCAGCAGTGATTAATCTAGATGTGCGTCTTGCGTAAAATACGCATAAAAATCGAAAAAGACGCACAGTTTCAAAATATGTGTGTTCAATTTGACGCATGCAAATCAGGTAGTTTATAATCCAAAATATCACGACTAGTGATTTCTATGTACCGTTTGATTACTTTAATTTCATTAGTTGAATAATTTTTCAATTTCTTCAGTTGAATAATTTAATTTCCAATGATAACAGGTGCAAGACTAATCCCCCATTTGCTTGAAACGTTAAATCCCAAGCAATTGTTGCTTGTGATCGGTGACCGCCCATTATCGGCATTAGCCAATCAGAGCGTCCATTTTGCATGAGAGCGAATCGCCTACAATGGTGAAATATGCAGAGATCTGCCTGTCCCATTGGCGCTAAAAAATGAGAAAGGCACAGGAAAATGTCAGCAAAGGGCCAAAGGCGCATCTTAAATCTGTGCCAGACTTATATTGTATGTTATTTAGTCATCCAGACAAAACTTTGTTCATACAGCAACAGGTTACCCATTCCCTGTAATTACGGCATATTCTTGGTGTTTATCCATTTCCCTATAGCATTTTTCAAGTTATCTACTTACCATTATCCCTTTCCCACACAGATACGCATTTCTACTACTGCATTTCTACTACCGTAAATTTAATCCAATAGAGCAAACAAAAAATCATTAATCTACTTAATATTTTAAATAATTATCGGTAACTAAAAAAAGTGTTGCTATTTTAAGAAATGCTGTAAGTTACAGGTGTGTAAGGTCACTCAAGTTCACGCAGAAGATGTCTATTACATCATCAGAATATTTGACAGGGTGATTAACCAATCAGGGAAACATTGTGCATGACTTTTTTTCATGATCAAAAGGTCTGTCTGTGTATGCTTTCTACACAGAGGCATACAAGGAGCAATAAAAGTTGTCAGTATGTATACAGTGTGACAGGGACATTTTGTGAAAATTACGAACAATAAGAATGGATAATGCACAGTATTAGACATAAGTAGTAAGAAAATGTAAATTATGCAAATTAGATTTTTGAGCAGCCAATAAAAATTGTTTTGCCTGCAATTAATATTAGTACCAAAAATAACTTTTTTATACACTTGTTAAATTACTTAATCGCTTGTTATAAAAACATGCAAATCATGTCAAGGATCTGCTATTAAAAAAAAAAATTCTGCTAAGACGCATTTATTTTGCTACATGACTCTTTGATTTTGCTACAGGACTCATTGTTTTCAAACATGTGCGTCATCCGACGCATTGCAAGGAATTTCTAGATTAATCACTGACCAGTAGAGAACTTGATGAGCTTAAAGCACAGCTGTGATTGTGTTGGTATACCAGTAGTAGAGTACTTGATGAGCTTAAAGCACAGCTGTGATTGTGTTGGTATGTCACCAGTACAGAACTTTATGAGCTTAAAGCACAGCTGTGATTGTGTTGGTATGTCACCAGTACAGAACTTTATGAGCTTAAAGCACAGCTGTGATTGTGTTGGTATACCAGTAGTAGAGTACTTGATGAGCTTAAAGCACAGCTTTGATCATGTTGGTATGTCACCAGTAGAGAACTTGAGCATAAAGCACAGCTGTGATCATGTTGGTATGTCACCAGTAGAGAACTTGAGCATAAAGCACAGCTGTGATCATGTTGGTATGTCACCAGTAGAGTACTTGATGAGCATAAAGCACAGCTGTGATCATGTTGGCATTTCACCAGTAGAGAACTTGAGCATAAAGCACAGCTGTGATCATGTTGGCATTTCACCAGTAGAGAACTTGAGCTTAAAGCACAGCTGTGATCATCTTGGTATGTCACCAGTAGAGAACTTGAGCTTAAAGCACAGCTGTGATCATCTTGGTATGTCACCAGTAGAGAACTTGAGCTTAAAGCACAGCTGTGATCATGTTGGTATGTCACCAGTAGAGAACTTGAGCTTAAAGCACAGCTGTGATCATGTTGGTATGTCACCAGTAGAGTACTTGATGAGCTTAAAGCACAGCTGTGATCATGTTGGCATTTCACCAGTAGAGAACTTGAGCATAAAGCACAGCTGTGATCATGTTGGCATTTCACCAGTAGAGAACTTGAGCTTAAAGCACAGCTGTGATCATGTTGGCATTTACCAGTAGAGAACTTGAGCTTAAAGCACAGCTGTGATCATGTTGGCATTTCACCAGTAGAGAACTTGATGAGCTTAAAGCACAGCTGTGATTGTGTTGGTATACCATCAGTAGAGAACTTGATGAGCTTAAAGCACAGCTGTGATCATGTTGGTATGTCACCAGTACAGAACTTGATGAGCTTAAAGCACAGCTGTGATCTTGTTGGTATGCCACCATTTGAGAACTTGGCAAGCTTGCATGTCTTTAAAATATTACTGGACTCTTAAGTTGCTGTAATATATTCCATTTTCAGAGCTCTCGCAAATGGGCGATTTTTCGCGACTTTAATAAGTCATCAAAAGTTTCTGAAATTAGCCGAATTTGAACATTAAAGCGAATTTGACTTCGCCGTGCATTTTTACTTGCCACATCATCATAGATTTTTATGTATCACACAGCACACCTTTTAAGTACACCTTTTATATATAACTTAAATATTAATATTACTCTGTAAATAGATAAAACTCCTTTTTTTTTTTTAGATCAAATCAATGTGCCAAGCTTTTTTTCACTTCTCCCTATGTCTTAAACTTCTCCCTACCTAAAATGTTGGTCTTTAAAATGTCTGTTTTTTTGTAGTTCATAGTTATTCAAGTTCAAAGTAAGACAAATCAGTTGTAGAAATTCAGCAATGTAAGGGTTTTTCATTTCATAATACACATGTACATGTTTCAATTCTTTAGTGTGATATAGTTTTAAAAAACATTGAGCTTTCAAAACAGCTCGTACTCAGTCTGTAAAATTTATTTTTTGTCCTTTATTACGTAAATGAAAAGATTACAAATAAATATTGATTAAACTTATTCTTTAGTGTGAGAAAGCTGGATAGCTAACTTATTCCTTCAGAACATTGGTTGTTCTACTGTTGAACCAGTTATGGAGCCTAAATACTTGTAGTGTTTAATCTTTTCCATTTTACCATGATAAAGTCTTACCAAAAAGATTATTGAAAATAATAGTTTTACACAAATGTTTGATTTTAGTTGTTAGATGAGATGTTGGACAATGGTTTCCCACTAGCTGTAGAATCAAATATCCTAAAAGAGTTGATTAAACCACCAAACTTCCTCAGAACAATAGCAGACACTATAACTGGAAAAACTACAGGGTAACTTAACTGTTTAGTTTAACATTATTTATAATCCCCTGCCAATGTAATTGGGAGGGGGATATTGTTTTGGCGTTGTCCAACCATCTGTCCGAATTTCGTTTTCCACTAGTTCTCTGCAACTACTGGCAGAAATTCAATGAAACTTAATAGGAACCATCAATACCAAGAGGAGATGCACATATTGTCGCCTTGTTCCGGTCAGACCCTTTAACACAGAGTAATGGCCCTTGATTATGCATATAGAGCAATAACTGTTTCTGCACTACTTCTCTGCACCTACTGGCAGAAATTCAACGAACCTTTATGGGAACCATCAATATCATGACAAGATGTCGCCTTGTTCTGGTCAGACCCTTCAACACAGAGTATAGCCCTTGATTAGTTATGCAGCATGCATATAGCACAATAATCGTTTCCGCGCTATTTCTCTGCAACCACTGGCTGGAATTCAAAATTTAAAACCTTTAAAAAAATTTTTTGTTGAATTTTTTCCCCATTTAAATTGTTTTTGTTTGTTTTTTTAAAAAAAAGAAAAAAAATTTAATTTTTTGAAAATTGAAATTTAAAATATCCTTAAATTTTGGGGGCTCCAAAAATTTTTAAATTTTTAAATTTTTTGGGTTTTTTTTTCCATTTTTTTTTGGGGAAAATTCAGTTTATATAAATATTTTCCCACAATGTAGGTTACAATAGTTTTTGGGCTGGTTTGGTCATAACCCCAAGTTTTTAAAAGAAAAAACAACTTTTTAAAAGGTTAAATTTTTTGTATAAATGAATAAATTATTTTAAGGGGGTAAATTTGGGTAAAAAATGATATAATTATTTTAAAGGGGTAATTTTTTTAAAAAATGAGACAATTGTTTTTTTTAAAGGGGTTTGGGGAAAAATTAAACCTACCCGGTAAACTATCTAACGTACCATGGAGGCGTACAGGAGTAAAATACACCAATAATGAAGCATACTTTGATGTTATAGAAGAAATAGATGCTATCATTGATAAATCTGGAACAACTGTTATAGCAGAAATACAGGGATATGTATGTTTACATAAAACTGATATATTTGTAATAAATAAGGTGTTTACAGTAAGAAATGGTCTTTTTGTTTTTGCACTGGATTTTCAACTTTTGTATGGGAATTTATTATAGATTCCAAAAGAAAGTAATTTAAAACCATTTCTGGATTGGAGATTAGAATTATTTTGATGTAAAATGTCATGCTGATGCATTGACAAGATATCATCTTAGATACTAGTAACCCTAAAGATTTGAACAGCATTAGTATCTTGAATAATTATAAACGTTTTACGCCAAAAATTTACAAACTTAATAATTTAACAGGTACTATTTTCTTCTTTAACTTTTTAATATTTTATTATAATGCTATTATTAGAAGGGAAAGCAAATATCATGACATTTTGTGATCTGTGTGGGGCAGAAAAATAAATACAAATAATAGTTAATGTAATATTTTCTCCCATAAGTTTTGTTTGGAAGCAGGTGATGTCATGTGGTATTGACACCATGACTTTTTATGTCGTATTAAAGTTTTGCCCCTGGCTGGGAGCGGCGTCCAATTTTGTCCGGAGCATATCGCCTACACATATGGAGGAAATTTAATGAACTTCATAGAAACGTTCACTGCTATGAGAAGCTGTTGTCCGCATGAACCAGGTCTCTAGGTTTAAGGTCAAGGTCACACTAAGAGTTCAATGAAAAACCCTTTGTACATGCATAGAGGGATTTCATTGTAACTTGGCAAAAAAAATGTTTTACCATTGTTTAGGCAGATTTTCTGTGTGGGGTTTCGGTAAGGCCACCCCAAAGGGGTCCAAAAATTCAGAAAAAAATGTGGGATTTGGAACCCTTTAGTCAATTAAATTTTTTGAGGGATTGAAACACCAAAAAGGGCATTTTTCATGAAAATGTAGGTGTGAAAAAATGTCATTTTAAAGGGAAATAAAATGCCCAAAGGGCAATTTTTACTAAAGAAAGATTGAATATAGAGATTTTTTTCCAGAAAACATATCTTTTCCCAAATTGCAAGGGGGGGATTCCCAAAAACAAACTTCCCTAGAAACGTTCACCACTTTGAGAAGCAGTGTCACGTGCATGAACCAGATCTCTAGGTTAAAGGTTAATGTCACGCTTTGAGGACATTAAAAAATGCTTGTTCAGAGCAAAACTTCTGCATTAATCAGGGGATTTTAATGTAACTTAACACAAATGTTCACCATTTTGAGGGTAAATATTTGTAGCATAATTCAGGTCCCTTCTACCAAAGTCAAGGTCACATAGAGAGGTCAAAGTTAAGTTATGCATATCTATAATGCCCACATCTGTGTTAACAGCTTTTGTGATGGATTTATTTTGTGACAAAGTTACCCTTGTTAGTTTCTTTATAAATGAATAACACATTTACAGCTGTTAGTATATCTTTCATGTAGGTGTAGCTGCATATAGGGCAGTAACTTGTTGATAAAAGATTTGAACATATGAATATAATTACATGTATATAAGGTTATTTACTTGATGAATATTTCAGTCATTTCTTATACTCACTGTATGAATATTTCAATGTTAATTTCAGATTGATTGTTTAGTAAAGTTGTCAGGAATGCCAGATCTGACCTTGACATTTGTAAACCCTCGACTGTTAGATGACATCAGCTTTCATCCATGTATAAGATTTAAAAGATGGGAGGTAATGTGACTTTAAATGCTTTCTGTTAATAATAAGGAAACTTAAATGTTTGGAACCAAATTGGTTATAAAATGCAACCTCTGCAAAGCAACACCATTTGGGAGCAAAGATTTTTGTTGTCATTGAGAGGTGAATCTCTAGAGATATATATGATTTATTGTGAATTGTTACAGAGGGCACACTACAGAGGTTTCACTTTAGAACTATAAAGGCTGCTACTAAACCTGATACTTTTGAATTTCTACAATATAATGTATATGAGGAGCACACACCAACACTAGCTCAGTTCTTACTTTTATCATTTTTAGCTCTACTATTTTTTGAAGTTTAAGAAATAGAGGTATTTTTACAATCATGTTGGTGTCCCTGTTGCTGTTGCTGTCTGCAAACTTGTACATTGATCACATCTTTTTAAGTTCTTGGTGTTTGTCTTTCATACTTGGCCACAACAACCCTTGGGACAAGACCTTTAAGTAGATCAGACTAAACTTGACCTTCATTGACCTTCATTCATAAATGACCTTGACCTTCAACGTCAAATGTCTAAATTTTGCTTGTTTTTTTTTTCCAAAAAAAAAAAATGAGGTATTGTTACAGCCATCAGCAAACTTTAACCTTGATCATAACTTTTTAAGTTTTTGGTGTATTGTCTTCATACTTGACCACAACAACTCTTTGGACAACTCTTTTAGACCAGACAAAACAACACTTGTGACCAAACAGACATATTGAATAATTTAGATATGACTTTGACATTTAAGTGACCTTGACAGTCAAATGAATAAATTTTGATTATATTTTCTTTACATTGTCATTAACTTATGGAAAGGATTCATACTTGGACAAAACAACATGTGTGACTAGACAGATCTATTAAACTTTAAAAAAGGATAACTTAACTTTTTTCTTTAAGATTTGTTTAAACCGTTAATTTGATTGCTTTTAGAAAAAGTAAAAAAAGTTGACCTTTGCCCTCACCTGGCAGTGGCTCTTGTTTTAATTAATCAGTTAGTTGGATTATATTGTAATGTGATAAATGTGGCTATGTTTTATAGACATATATATATATATATTGTCCAAGAAAGAATTTGAGGGTTGAAGGGAACATATTATATAAAATGTAGAATTTTACAGTGAAAAATGATTATTTAATATTTCAGAATGAGAAAATACTGTCATTTGTTCCACCAGATGGAAATTTCCGACTCCTATCATATCACATAGGTTCTAACAAGTAAGTACAATGTTCAGTCTAACTTGCCCATGCGACTACATGCATTAAGCGACTTTTGTCTGTAGCGACCACTCAGGGTGGGCTTTTAGGATTGTTGAATGTCCGGCATCTGTCGTCGTTGTCCATCCACATTTAATTGGTTAGTTGGTTGTCGTCTGTCCACATTTAGTTCATTTACTCTCTAGTGGTCACATTTTTGCCTCAATTTGTCACTGAACTTGGTAAAGATGCTTGTCTGAGTTATTGCTCTAACAAGTTCAAACATAATCATCTGAAAACTAGGTCACAGGAGCTAAGAATAGAAATTCTTGTTTACACTCTAGAGGCTTCTGTTTAGGTCCAAATATCCTGGAAATGGGTCTGAAAGGTTTTTTTTAATGATTTCTAGCTCAAGTTTCAGTATAGGTCACCTTGGGTCAAAAATTAGGTCACACAGCCCAAATATGGAAAAACCTATTAGGACCAAGTATATTATAACTAAAAAATATTTTGCATGATGTATGGTCTAGTGATGTTCAAATTCTTGTAATAAATGCTAACTTTCATTACTTTTACACATTCAGGTGAGTGCTTAATGGCTACGTTGTTCATATATGTGTACATGGTATACAATTTTTTATTAAAAGATTCAACAGCTGGGAGTTTGTCTAAAGGTCATAACCTGTAGCAAGAGAGGTGTTTGCTTTTATGCAGAGAATCTTATGAAATTATTTGAGGTCATGACCTCTAGGAAGAGTGATGTTTGCCTTGCAGGGATATTTATGAAATGATCTGAGCACATTATGATTCACACCATGTATATAATTATAATTTGAAATCATAAATATTTTTTATGTTTTCAGAAATAGCTAATGCTTAATTGAAAAGAAGTGTTTAGAAAAGTAACTAAGACTGTATTTCAAAGTTTAATACAACAATGTAATGCAGTAAATACCAAATTTTTTATCAAGTAAGAATACTTTTTAACCAATTATTATACATGAGGCTTTGTATCTTAGCATTATACACATCTGGAGATTGTCTTTCATTTAAAATGCTGAAATATGACATGGAGCCCCAAATTCACTAAACACAATTGCATTTTGGCAAAGTTCAATTGTATAGAAACAAAAAACAAAATCTTCTGTTCCTAATATTAAGTGTTGTATAAATGCAGTGACATTTTCACAAATGCAATCTTGTTTTTGTTAATCTTTTAGTATGGTGGCCATTCCAGTGTATTTGAAACATAATATATTCTATAGAGAAGGCAGTGCTGGAAGGTTTGATGTCTCTATTGGTGCTAAATCTACTATGGGCAAAACTGTAAGTACTTTATAGAAATGAGCATATTTTCAGTCTTTCTAAATTCTATTTATCAGTTAATTTCCCCTGCCTTTTCGAAGAAATAAGGGGGATATAGAAATGGGCTTCATCCATTTGTCTGTCAGTCAATGACACTATTTTTTTAGCTCACCTGTCACAAAGTGACAGGGTGAGCTTTTGTGATCGCTTTTCGTCCGGCTGTCCGTCGTCCGTCCATCAGTAAACTTTTACTTTAAATGACATCTCCTCATAAACCACTAAGCCAATTTCAGCCAAACTTCACAGGAATGTTCCTTTGGTAGTCACCTTTAAAAATTGTTCAAAGAATTTAATTCCATGCAGAACTCTTGTTGCCATGGCAACCGAACGAAAAAACTTAAAATATCTTCTTTAAAAAAACCCAAAGAGCTAGAGCTTAGATATTTGGCATGAAACATCTTCTAGTGAGTGTCTACCAAGTTTGTTCAAATAAAAGCCCTGGGGTCAAAATTGGCCCTGCCCCAGGGGGTCATTGATTTTCCCTATATGCATATAGTAAAACCTTAAAAATCTTCTTTTAAAGAACCCAAAGAGCTAGAGCTAAGATATTTAGCATGAAACATGTTCTAATGGTAGTCTACCAAATTTTTTCAAATAAGAGCCCTGGGGTTAAAATTGGCCCCGCCCCAGGGTCATTGATTTTCCTTCTATGTGTATAGCAAAAACTAAAAAAATCTTCTTTGAAAGAACCCAAATAGCTAGAGTTTAGATACTAAGCATGAAACATCTTCTAGTGAGTGTCTACAAAATTTGTTCAAATAAAAGCCCTGGGGTCAAAACTGGCCCCACCCCAGGGATGTCATTGTTTTTAACTAAATGTGTATAACCCTTAGGTGGGGGACATTGGTAACTCTGATACAAATTCTTGTTTATGTTAAAAAATGGCAGCAACTTTTGGAAAATAGTTAAAAAAAACTGTCACCTTAGTATGACTGAAATACTTTTTTGAGATAAAATCATCTCCACTCAGTGATGTATATGATATTTCTTATTATAGGTAGAGAACTTAGTTTTGGAGTGTCCATTCCCAAAGTCAGTATTAAATGTGACTTTGACCCCAAATCAGGGTAAATATTCATTTGACCCTACAACAAAGATTATGACATGGGATGTTGGTCGACTGGACACAACTAAAATGCCAAATCTGAAAGGAACAGTAAGTAATATCTTTCTCTTTTTAGCTCACCTGAGGACAATGTCCTCCAGGTGAGCTTTTGTGATGGCCAATTGTCTGTCGTCTATCGACTGTCCATGCATGTGTCAACAATTTCTTTAAACAACTTCCCCATGGTCAAGGTCACACTTGGTGATTTAAGGTCAACATTGTTTGTGGGAGGGTATATGTCATGTTTCGTATATCAACTGTTCATCCATCAATACAAGTGATTTTGAAAAAAACAGTCAAACATGTATTATGTGACCACAGAGGGAAATACCAAACATGGCTGCTTAATACAACTGTCTCTTAAGACAAAGCATGAGAAATTTTAAAATATATTCATGATATCTTTCCTTTGTGGTGAAGAGTTTTTCAACTTCATTTACATGAATGTTTAATAGTTATAATCCATAGATGCTAAAATAAAGAATTAGACTGCCAAACAGTTTTGATCAATTATGTACATGCTTGACATTTTTCCAGAATTTTTAAGCTCCTCCATTATGTTTCCTTGTCCGTGACACTTATGCCTCTCATAACTGTCTGTTTTGTATTTTTCATTTGAAAAAAACAACCTGCGTCTAAATTAAGGTCAATTCAATGCAGTCTAAATATCAACAGAGAAGCGTATACACCATCTTGGTAGGGGGGTGGAGCTTTGCTTTGTTCTATCAATTTAATGGAATAATACGTATCATAATTATACTTAACTTCATTTGCATACACAAAAAACGGTTTAGGAATTAATTTTTTACACATTTATACACGTATATTGTGTTTTGATTGATGACACTTGTGACAATACGAGGCAGCATTCTATAAAAACACAAACGCTTGACAGGTAAGAGTGATCGCTTGATGAAAACATTGATCTCAATTAGCTGACTAAAAAGCAGTGGCTGATTGCATTGATGAATAAGTAGCTTTAAATATTGAAGTTATAGAGAGAAAATGATCGGTTTGAAATTACAGTGGTTGCTAAGGACATAAGTTCTTTAATACACATGGTAGCATTGGCATGTTACACTGTTCTTGGCTCAGATAGTCACAAAAATGAGATGATGTGTTGTGCTCAAGGTCAAGGTTGGAGGTCAAAGCTAAACATGCTCTGTTATAGGGTATATTTTGTGTCTAATCCATAACTTCTTCATAGATCAAGGGATTTTTAAATTAAAGAAATTTAAAAAATGATGACCAAAGTAAAAGTTTTCGGACACCAACAAGCAAAGGCAACATCAAAGACAACATTGACTGTAGCAATAGCTCTATTTATGCCACCACAGAATCTGCAATTCAGTGGCATATAGCGATTCACCTGTGCATGTGTGTGCATGCATGCGTGTGTGTGGATGCAATACATAATTGTGCGTATGCATGTTATAAAGATTATATAGTGAACTTAAAAAATCTTGTGAAAAACCACAAGTCAAATTTTAACCAAACTTGGCAGAATTGTTCCTTTGGTGTAGGGCTTTCAAAGTTGTTCAAAGAATTTGATTCCCTGCAGAAATCTTGTTGCCATGGCAACCAAAAGGAATTATAAGAATAAATTAAAAAAAATCTTGTAAAGACCCACAATGCCTAGAGCATAGATATTTTGCATAAGGCATTGTTTGGCAGACCTCTACCAAGATTGTTCAAATTATAGCCCTGGGATTAAAACTAAGGAATTGCACTATGTACATTTAGTAAAAACTTAAAAAATCTTTTTGTCTGAAGGTACAAGGAGCTTTGATATTTGGTAAATGATATCATCTATAGGTCCCCTAGTTTTTGAAATTTTGCCTCTAGTGTCAAAATAAGCCACTTGGGGGGGTCATAGGTTTTCCTTATACTTATATAGTAAAAACTTACAAAATCATCTTCTCTGAATTGACAAAGGCTAGAGGTTAGATTTTTGCATGAAACATTGTGTAGTGGACCTCTACCAAGATTGTTCAAATTATAGCACTAGGGGTCAAAATTAACCCCGCCCGGGAGTCATTGACTTACTTTCTTGTCCTTCGATGTACAGCTATAATATTTGAACCATGTGCTCAGATAATATGTTAATTGAACTTTAATTTCAGCTGACCTAGATCTTGACAAAGTGACTTACTGTCTTGTCCTTTGATGTAAAGTCATGAAATTTAGGCCATGTGAAATATGACCTTGAGCACCAAATTCACTAGACTCATTGTATTATGGCAAAGTTAAATTGTATAGAAAAAAAAATTTCTGTTCCTACACTACTATTTAGTGTTGTATTAATGTGGTGGCATAGTATTTTTCACAAATGCAATCTTGATTTTACTATGTTATATTTATTTTTTATTTTTATTTATTTTTTGTTTGTTTCAGATTAACTTACAGACTGGCTGTCCAGTGCCTGAAAGTAATCCTACATTGTCAGTAAGTGTGTCACAACATTTAATTTTGAAGTTCTGTTAGAACATATTTTATTGTAAGAATGTACCTTTTGTAAAATAAAAATATTCATCTTAATATTACAATTCCAGCTGGAAAGTAGGGCAACAGGGCAACTGCATTACAGAATAACACATTCATCTGGGGTCAAAAACTAGGTCACTCAGCCGAAATATGGAAAAACCTTGTATATGTAAATTCTAGAGGTATTATATTCTGACCAAATATCCTGAAAATTTGTCCGAAAGGTTGTTTTGATGAGCAAAAGAATGGTAACTATGCCTTTCCTAAATTTTAAGTTATTGCCCATTGTTTAATTTTACACTTTGAACTTAGTCTGGATCATAACTCTAAAACCACATGGTATATTAACAAGAAACTTTGTAGGTAGATGTCATTGAGCAGAAGTGCAGTGCAAAAAAACCATAACTCTGCCATACCTAAGTGACATTATGCTCATATTTTCATTGTCAAGTTTAGCTGAATTGACTTCAGATTTCAAAAGATTGACTGTCAAAATGGTGTTTGACCAACAGTTGATATTGGAAAATGTTTAGGATAAAATTATAAATCTGCCTAAAATATAGAAAGACTGCCCCACTCTTTTTATAAACTAAGCGTTATGGATATCTACATAAATTTCGTTTGGATATGTGCGTTTTTTCTTGTTTATGTGAACTTAATTATTAAAAGGAATTATGGCAAAATGAAAACTTATTTTGATCTTCACCCGTTCACTCACTATATACCCTTGGATGGGCATAATGTCACTTTAAAGTTATTGCCCTTTGTTCATTTTTACACTTTGAACTTTGTCCAGGACATAACTTGAGAACTATAAAAGGTATCAACTTGAAACTTTATAGGTGGATAAATCTCACTAAGTAGAATTGCAGTGCAGAAGAAATGTAACCCTGCCTACCCTAATTTTGGAGTTATTGCCTTTGTTTATTTTTACACTTTGAACTTTGTCCAGGAAATAACATGAGACAGGTATCGTCATGAAACTGTGTAGGTAGATAGATATCACTAAGTAAAAGTGCAGAAATCTCTTGAAAGAAGTCATGAAAACTTCAAATCCAAACTTTAATCTATCTTATTGATGTAGGACAAATAATTTAAAAACATTTGGAAAAAAAAACACTATAAACTACTTCATCATCTCCCTATGTGCAAAGTTATTAACTAAATAGCATGTTTTCTGACAAGTGCGTGTCGGGGGTATTCGGCATTTGTGATAATATCTTGTTCTTATATTATGTTTATATTGTAAAAACTTAAAAAATCTGCTCCTGAATTGAGAAAGGCTAAAGGTTAGATATTTTGAATGAAGAATTGTGTAGTAGAACTCTACAAAGAATGTTCAACTTATAGCCCTGGGGTCAAAATTGGCCCTGCCCCGGGTCATAGGTTTTCCTTATATGTGTGTAATAAAAACATTAAAAACACTTCTCCTCTGAAGGTACATGGCTTAGAGCCTAGATATTTTGTGTTTAATATCATCTATAGGTACTCTATAATTGTTGTTTAACTTTTGCCCCTGGCGTTAAAATAGGCCCCGCCCTGGGTTTTCCTTATATGTATATACCTGTATAGTAAAAACATAAAAATCTTCTCCTATGAATTGACAAAGGCTAGAGGTAAGTTATTAAGCATGAAGCATTGAGTAGTGGAACTCTACCAAGATTGTTTAAATTATAGCCCTGGGGTCAAAATTAGCGCTGTCCTGGGGAGTCCTAGGTTTTTCCTAGTATGTATATAGTAAAAACTGCTCCTCTGAATTAAGATATTTGGCATGAAGCATTGTTTAGTGGAACTCTACCAAGAAAGACCCACAAGGCCTAGAGCATAGATATTTTGCATAAGGCATTGTTTGGTAGACTTCTACCAGATTGTACAAATTATAGCCCTGGGGTCAAAATTGGCCAGACACCGAGGTCATAGGTTTTTCTTTTATGTACAATGTATATAGTAAAAACTTAAAAAACTTCTTGTCTGAAGGTTCAATGCTTAGAGCTTAGATATTTGGTATATACATCTACAGGTCCTCTACCATAGTTGTTCAAAGTTTGCCCCTGTTGTTAAAATTGCTGTTACACAAATAAGAGTATGTCTTCAGTTGAGTGCTTTTGGGTCAATGGCCTTTTGTCTAACATTGTTTTGAGATCTCCTTTAAGATTATTCATATTTACATTCAACCCCTCAAGCTGTGTCTGAATGTGACTATGTCCTGAATCATCTACACTTGCCATACTAGTGTTGCTGTAATTACCTGCATCCATTCTGAGAAGAAGTCAGCTTTTGTCTGTTCTGTCCACCGCTGATTGTGAGTTAAGAGGCTTTGTCCTTTTTACTAGTAAAATATAATAGTTCAGCAGTTAAAGAGATTTTGTAATTCAAAATTTTACTACAAATTCAAAACATATTATTTATCATTTTGTGCCTAAATGTATTCATAATCCATCACTAGTTCTGCATTTGATTGTATTTTTTGTGGAGCATTGATCAACCAAACATCACAGTTCAATAGCCACATGGGTAAGGGAACTGGAGTGCACTGCCTCTAAGCTCTTGTTTTATTTTCAGCTACAATTTACAATTAGTACACTGGCCATCTCAGGAATAAAAGTGAACAGATTGGACATGTATGGGGAGGTTTGTAGTTGTATTTTATTGTCCTTTATTTTATTGGGCATACATGTAATACTCATTATCATTATATAGATGAAATTTCACACCAGAGGCTAAAGTAAAGGGAATTTGATTCTGTCAGATCTCCGTAGTTTAGCAGTATTATATGCAGTACAGGATATATTTCAGTTTGCACTTGTATGACAATTGATCCAGAAATTTTGGTTTCCTCCTATGTTACAGAACCCCTCAGTATGCATTGTATGAAATGATAATTTGTAAATTTGTCAATTATTTATACTGTAACACTTCTCAAAACTACTTACAAGATAACTTGTCAGTCATGTTCAGAATAGCAGATGTAAAAATTAAGATTTTTTTCTATATTTTATTAATGTACTTAAACCTTTCATTTTACAGCACTTTTTGCATTACTGATTTTAAAGTGAATTTGTATGGAATTTTATGCTAATGTTCTTTTGTTAACATTTAACATGCATAAATATCTTTTCTGTCTTTATTACAGAAATACAAGCCATTTAAAGGTGTGAAGTATATTACCAAAGCTGGAAAATTCCAAGTGCGTACATAGTTAATGTGTTCAGGGAATGTGCAATATAAGTGATCGAAAAACATTTTAATCAACTTACATTACATAACTTTTGCAATGGTATTGATCAACTTTCAATTCGGATTTGTTCAATGTTGCATTAAGGGATTTTTATAGAAAAATTATTAAAATGAGTACCTTATACTGAAGTTCAATCAGACTGAATAAATATGCAGGTTTTCCTGACTTATCTCCAGTTGTACTGACTATTTTAGTAGTACTAACTTATCTCTAGTGGTACTGACTTATCTCTAGTTTTACTGACTTTACTGTACTTTTACTGACTTTACTCTAGTTGCACTGACTTTACTCAAGCTTTACTGAATTCACTCAAGCTTTACTGACTTCACTCAAGCTTTACTGACTTGACTCAAATTGTACTCTTTACTGTAGTTGTGCTAACTTTACTCTAGTTATGTTAACTTTCTAGTTGAACTGACTTTTAACTCTAGTTGTGCTGACTTATCTTTAGTTATGCTGACTTTACTCTAGTTGTACTGACTTTACTCTAGTTGTACTGACTTATCTCTAGTTGTACAGACTTTACTCTAGTTGTACTCACTTATCCTTAGCTAAAGTGACTTTACTCTAGTTGTACTGACTTTATTCTAGCTGTGCTGACTTTCTAGTTATACTGACTTTACTCTAGTTGTACTGACTTATCTCTAGTTGTACTGACTTTACTCTAGTTGTACTAAGTTATATCTAGCTAAACTGACTTTACTGTAGTTGTGCTGACTTTACTCTAGTGGTACTTACTTAACTATAAATTGAACTGACTTTACTGTAGTTTTGTTGACTTAACTCTAGCTATACTGACTTAACTCTATTTGTGCTGACTGATTCCTTGTCGCGCTAACTTTACTTTACCTATAATGACCTAACTTAAGTTGCTTTGAAAAGGCACATTTTCATTGTTTAAAATACAATAAAATTGTTGTGTTTATATTTGATAATCTTGAATTGCTTTTTGTAATATAGTACAAAACAGGATAAATATAGAAAGTGTAATGTGGTATTATGAAACAGTGAATATTTCTGATAATTCATTTACTTTATTAAAGTGACATTATGCTCATTTTTAGCTCGACTATTCGAAGAATATGAGAGCTATTGTAGTCGCCCCGGCGTCGGCGTCCGCGTCGGCGTCTGCGTTGGTTAAAGTTTTTTGTAAAGTCAAATATCTCAATTATTACTTGTGATATTCAATTGAAACTTACAATACTTATTTATAGTAACAAGGTACATCAGATTGACAAGTTAGATAACTCTGCCTACAATATTGACAGAATTATGCCCCTTTTTAACTTAGAAATTTTGGTTAAAGTTTTTTGTAAAGTCAAATATCTCAATTATTGCTTGAGATATTCAATTGAAACTTACAATACTTATTTATAGTAACAAGGTAATCAGATTGACAAGTTGGATAACTCTGCCTACAATATTGACAGAAAATGCACCTTTTTAAACTTAGAAATTTTGGTTAATTTTTTGTAAAGTCAAATATCCCAATTATTGCTTGAGATATTCAATTGAAACTTACAATACTTATTTATAGTAACAATGTACATCAGATTGACAAGTGGATAACTCTGCCTACCATATTGACAGAATTATGCCCCCTTTGGAACTTAGAAATTTTGGTTAAAGTTTTTTTTGTAAAGTCAAATATCTCAATTATTGCTTGAGATATTCAATTGAAATTTAAAATACTTATTTATAGTAACAATGTACATCAGTTTGCAAAATTGCATAACTCTGTCTGCAATATTTGCAGAATTATTTGCCCCTTTGAAACTTAGAAATTTTGGTTAAAGGTTAACGGTCTTCAAAGATATTTACTTAAAACTTTACACATGCACTTAGGGTCATAATTGGAGGGTCATAATTGTATGTCACTGACCAAGTTCCATAACTCTATCTTGCATTATGGCTGATTCATATCCCCTTTTCTACTTAGTCTCTTGGTTAATGTTTACATGCAACATATCTCAATAACTATTGAAGATATTTATCTAAAACTTCACATATGCATTTAGGGTCATAATTGTAGGTCACTGACAAAGATCCATAATTCAATCTTGCATTTAGGCTGATTTTTCTCCCCTTTTTCAACTTAGAAATTCATGGTAAAGTTTTGCTTGTAAGCTGTTATCTCAATAACTACTGAAGGGTTTGCGCCTTTTTTGGGACAATTTTATGCATTCATAATAATAAAGCAGTGATTTACTTGATAAAACATCTTAATAACAAGCCTTTGTACCTTTTCTGTCAAATTTATGTATTCATAGGTAATTAGTATTATTATACTCAATAAAAAAACCTTGTGACATTACCTTCCGAATAGTCAAGCCAATACTGTATAATTAGACTCTCTGTAAGGCTTATAACATGAATTTATAAAAAAAAATTAGCCCTTTTGTGAACTTAAAAAATTTAACAATATCAAGGCTCTTTTACTATCAAGCACTTAGAATAGTCGAGCATGCTGTCCTACAGACAGCTCTTGTTATGATAATGCAGTGGCATATAGCGAATTACTTTAGTACCTGTGTGTGTGTGTTTGTACATTTGTCTGTTATTTAGATTTTACAGTGAACTTAAAAACAATCTTCTTGTGAAAAACCACTTGTCCAATTTCAACCAAACTTGTTAGGATTACTCCTTGGGTAAAGGGCTTTCCAAGTTGTTCATTTTGATTCCATGCAGAAATCTGGTTGCTATGGCAACCAAATGGAATTATAAGAATAAATTAAATTGACCCTGAGGTCAAAATTGGTCCCACCCTGGGGGTCATTGATTTTCACTATGTATATACATATAGAAAAAAAAACTTTGAAAAAATCTTTTTGTCATTGATTTTCATTATGCACATAAAGTAAAAACAGAAACAAAAACAAATGTTTTCTGAATAGTAGAAGCTACAGCTTAGATATTTGACATGAAACCTGGTCTGGTGGACATGTATCAAGATCGTTTGAATTAAACACTTGGGTCAAAATTTTGCCCTACCCAAGGGGACAGTGAACTTCTTTCTTGTCCTTTGATGTACAGCCATGAAATTTGGACCACATGCACAGTTTGAGATGTAAAAATGAATTTTGATATTAGCTGACCTAGACATGTGACCTACTTTCTTGTCCTTTGATATACAGCTATGAAATTTGAACATGTGCACAGATTAAGATGTAAATTGAATTTTGATGTCAACTGACCTAGATTTTGATAGATGTACAATCATGAAATTAAGGCCATGTCATAGATGTACAGTCATGAAATTAAGGCCATGTCAAATATGACCTTGACCACCAAATTCAGTAGACACAAATGCATTATGGCAAAGTTCAATTGAATAGAAACAAAAAAAATCTTCTGTTCCTACACTATTATTTAGTGTTGTATTAATGCGATGGCATAGTATTTTTCACAAATGCAATCTTGTTTTATTGTCATGTTGAGCTGAATTGACTATATATTTCAAAAGATTGACTGTTATAATTGTAATTTAGCCAACAGGTTATAATAGAAAAAGTTTAGTGTAAAATAGAAATCTACCTAAAATACAAAAAAAAATACTGCCCCACTCTTTAAAATGGATATTTATTGAAATTTCCTTTGGCCATGTGAGTTTATTTATCGTTTATGTTCACTTTAGTTTTATAAATATACTTAAAGGAGGCTATGCCTAAAAATGCCTTAAATTTCATTCTCAAAAGCTTTCATAAAGTACTAATTGGACAATTACCTTCATCTTCAGCTTCTGTTGCATTTTGACAATTAGTACAGTAATAGGGTTTACATTTTACAACTATTATGACAAAAAAGTTTACCCTCATTTTATTTTTGTCAGGTAATAAGTATCTCACATGTCTTATACTATTATTTAATCATATAAAAACATACGTTTGCCCATTCTAAAGAAACAAAATTCTGAGTCATATAATGTGCCTTCAATGGTAATTTATTAATTAATAATTAATATACTGTTATCACTTTATATTTGCTTGATCTTTATTTCGTGAAAAAAACTTCACAAATTCATGAATGCATGATGACAAGGGCAGACATTAAAATTTGCAAGTTAACTTTGCAAAGTTACAGGGAAGGGAGACCTATTACATTAATTTCCATACCATGGCGAATGGTAAATGTTGTCCAGCTAACGCCATTGAACTAAAGTTATCACTTTCATATTCCCACATAATTGATTATCATGAAAGCGTTTTGAATGATTTGCCACAGTCAGTATTTATATCAATGATGTATTTGTGAAAACGTTAAATATTTGTAAAATATGTGTTATAATTGTACAGCAGAGCATAAATTGTCCATTGATCACTATTGTTATTGTTAATCTATTATCATCTAAATTATATATGTTCACATTTGTCTATAAAGTGCATGGATATATATGTTGATATTGTCTGAATATTATTTTAGCTTTTTGTTTGGTATATATTTAAGCAATCATACCTTTATCATTACGTAAATAAACATTGCACAAATTAATGATTTTTGTGGCGCCTTAACAGAGCTATGCCATCAACACATAATGTGCGAATATGTTGAAAGCGTTTATATACCAGTTTAATTACAAAGAACGTTAGTTATGTGAATGGTAAAATGGTGGTGGTGTTGGTAGTTTTAACTCCTGATCACGGCAGTATGCTGAATTTACCAGAGCCTCCGTATCAATCCTGGGCAGTTAACCAGTACTAGTTGCCTTCACTTTTGCAAGGAACTGATGACTATTGTACATGTAAGAGCAGGGGTACAGTGCGAAGGACCGTACAAAGGATGTCATTATCAATCCCAATATATGGCCAAACGCTCTACCAATTGAGCTAATCGGACGACTTTTGAATGATAAAATAAACAAATGAAGATCATATATACGAGAAAGCATCGCAATAATTGCACTATTTTCTCGCCAAACACGGTGTTTTTTTCATGAAAGCCGTGAGCAAACAGGTGGAAAGACAAATCATACATAAAATCGGAGTGATTAGGAAATAACATTTATGTGGAAAATGTGTGCTAAAATAACTGTTTTGTCTGTCAAAACGCGTAGTAGCACTATTTTCATCAATGAGATTTTAGTATTGTAATTTCTGACCTTATTTATTGATGATGAGATCAAACAATCTTCAATGCAGTATTGTAATGTAAAATGTGTTTATATATTTGATATATGATTCAATTTCCTATATTTGCAAGAAAGTGTAATTACGTTTACGGCAATACGCATGTGTCAAAGCAAATAGCATGTACTGTGAAGAAACGTGTACTGTGGTAAATGGTGTGACCAGTTGCCCCTTTACTAGTACTTCCAGTTACATAAATGTAAACAATAGGGCAATACGGAATGTTGTTGAATGAAGCCAGTAGGTCAAATACTTCTGACTGAACAAATTCTTAAAGAGTCTCAGATCATTCCAAACTTAAATTTGAACAATAGTCATGAGGGATGATATCGCGGCACATGTTCCGAACATATTTGCAAGGGCGAATATATTAATCTTGTCCTTCTGCTCAATGGGGCTCTTCTTCTATTTCGGTTTATTTATACTCGGCGCCGGAAATTCCATATGTCCGAGAATATAGCATCCTTGCCGGTCCACTAAGGTAGTCACATCGGGGACGTCTTTGTCAAGCTGAATCTTCCTGTAGCCTATTCTTCGTTCGTTGGTGGTAGAGGAATACGACAATACTGGCCAGGCATCAAGTTCCATACTGACGATAACAAAAACGGCTCTCATTAGCGCCAACCCTCCAGAGTTAGTCACGACAGGTCAACCAATCACCTCTGGTACTTAAGATGACTTGACCTTGACCTGCCGTGTGCCTTCTCCGCGACGTGCACGCCTCTGGAGGGATTTGGAGAAGCTCAATGGGGCTGTTGAGCTGTCCGAGTTTTGTTCAGGCAGTTTGTATCGCTTGAATGCAAATGGTCAGAAAGAATGTAAGGATACGAATTTTAACAAACGCCTTTATAATATACATGTCTGATTATTTGTCGGCACATGCAAATTAAATGTATGAACTGTTGCACTATATGTTCAACCTAAGAGAATGCGCTTTACGTCAAGGAAACGTTGCATTGTGGACGTACGACGGTTTCACCTCCGTCAAGCTATTTCGCCCGCCTCATGGTCAAAAAATAATAATTTGTGATGGCGCTGCTTCAAGTTCTGTTAGATACCCGTGTAATGAATTCAATAGAGGTATTTGCTCTTGGCTGAATTGCAAATGTGTCCGTGGCTCCTCGTCATTAAAAATCAGCATAAAGTGGCAGTTTTTATCAGTTAAGAATAAGCTATCAAGTGAGTCTATAATGCCCCCCCCCCCCCCCCCCGCAAAAATCCTTTCGTGCTTGTCCCTTCTACAAAAGAAAGAGGCGAGTTCAAAAGTGACTAACACGGA